GGGTAGGGAATAGTCTCGATAAAGAACCGGTAATAGCAGTTGTATTGCGGCGGTTTAGTCGTCGTACTAGTTTAACCTACGCTAGTTGCTCCTCTTTAAGCCTCTATCTAAATAATATAATCGTATCCTCTTCTCTTAGTAGCCGAATGCTACGTCGTAGCTCTACATCGATGCTATTCTATATATACGTTAGCTACTAGCTCTTATTAACTAGGCCGGCGTTGCGTATATAGCGTATTACCTCGCTAAGGTAGGTATCGGTACTACGTCGGTTACCTACGTTAGATAACGTATACTTAAGCCGCGTTAGCTCGCTAAGGGACTTAGATAGTAGCGTCTAGAAGTTTTCTCGTAGCGTTATAAACTAGTAGTCTAGACCTAGTACGTAGCGAAGGCCTTATTTCGCTAGATTGTCTAGCGTATTAGTATACTAGGTTAAGGCCGTTCCTTATAGTAGTACGGGGATTCTAGACTTAACTCGATCGTTGCTACGATACGCTATAATATCCTTAAGTCGTTTAATAAAGATATTAATATCTCGGAAGAAGGTATTAGATCCTATAACTATCGGGTCGTCCTCTCCCTTTAGTAAGTCGGGCTAGAAGAAGCTAATTTCCTAGTCCCGTATTCGGTCTAGGTTGCTAGCCTCGTTAAAGATAGGCGTACTGTTTCTATTTCCGTTACCTATAGTAGGTACTACTCCCGGTGTCTAGCTTGCTAGTGCTTATACTACTACCGCCTAAATAGCGGCTATTATTTCCGTAGAGATAGCCTCTCTTTATTCCGCTATAGTAGGAGGCTAGACGCTCGTTGCCTAAGTAGTTACTATTATAGGTCGAGCCGTTAACGCGGTCGAAGGTCGTATACTTATAGTAGAGGTTGTTATTATTACGTCTAGCGATTACTATAGGGGCTATTATAACTGCTATAGCGATCTAGACGTAGCTACTCTTAATTTAGAAAGTAACTTCCCCTTTACGGATAAGTGCCTTCTAGACCTACTAGCTAAAGTAGAAGCAGTCGTAGATAGTAAATTTAGCCTATATCTTCTCCTATAGAACTATAGGAACGAGTTCTACGTAGGCTATCGGTATACTAGTAAGTCGAGCTACTTAGGGGAATAGGTCTCTATCGCCTAGAAGTCCTATAGAAAGGGTCCTAGATAAGACCTAACCTCCGTGTTAGTAATCCGGTTAGTTCGCGTATATATAGCGAAAGCGTAGTCGTCGTCTATAGGGCTTATATAGATATACGTTACTCTATATATATAGTCGTAATAAAGTAGTAAGGGGAAGTAGTTAGGCTCTTAGTCGGATTAGCCCCGATCTAGTTACCTCGTCCTAGTAGCGTCTTAAATAACTCCTAGTAGCGCGAGGGTTTAGTACAAGTAGTACTACTAATTGTTATAAAGTTAAGATTAAAGATAATTATATAAAGGAGGAAGGCTAATTATAAAGGTAGAGCCGTCGCTCTATTAGTTAGCTAACCCCTAGACTGTTACTTCCTTGTTCCGTAATAGGAATATACGGATTTAAGCCCTCGCTCGGTAGAGTGCCTATCGGCGGAGTAGGGGTGTCTATATTCTAGTACCGCTAAGGCCGTACGTTCCTTCGGAAGTACGCGTTTCCTAATAATTATAACGAAACGTACCTATTTCTAGCTCTTCTTTAGGAATAGCGTAGCACCGCTAGTACCGCTAGTACCGCTAGCACCTACTATCGCCGCCGCCGGTACTAGTTCAAAATAAAGCTAAAGTATTAGTAAGGCATTAATAGTATAGCAAAATATAGGTATTATTAACGCGCTCTTACTTGTCTATCTATCTGCCTTGCTATCGCTATTGCTATCTAGCTACCTTACTATCGCTATCGCTATTGTCGCACTCGCTCTACCTACTCTTCTAATGCCTTATTAGTTAGCGCCTATAGTAGCTGTCTATCGTAGTGCTCTTACGCGCCTATCTATAGATTATAGTATAGATTAAAGCGGCGGTTCTACTATTATACGTCTGCGTTAGGCGGTAGTCGAATTAGTATATTCTACGGAAGGTTCTCGGACTAGCTATCGCTCGTAGTGTCGATAGTAGTATTATATCGCAAATAGCTCGGTATAGAAGGTGCGAATAGCGTAGAAGGTAGTATTTGCGCTAGGTATCGTATTAATAAGTAGTCTTTACTTTTTAACGTATATAGACTAATATATTCTACGTTGCCGCCGGCGGTTAACTAGAAGCTGTCTAATACGCGCGTAGTACGCTAAGTCGTAATAAAGGGTTATAATAAGAATAATAGCAGCGGCGGCGCCTACGTACTAAGCCTAGTCTTACTTATATAAGTAGCTTCTACTAGATTAGCTATTAAGCTAAGAACCTGCTCGTCGATATTGTCGTCGTTAACTATGTCGCTATTAAGGAAGTTATCGCATGTCTAGTTAATTTGCGCCTATAGGTTATTATTATTGTCGGCTAAGTTTACATTCTCGAGCTACTATTTAATTAATAACTGCTAAACGGCCTTACCGACGACCTTCGAATAGTGCTTATAGAGGTACTAAATGTAGTTATTATAGTCCTTCTTCGAGAGGTCGTTTATTAACTGCGCCGCTCTTACTAGACAGTAGAAGTCTTCCTTAAAGTTGTTAATAATGTTATAAAGGAGAATATAGTAGTTACACTCTAATACGCCGTTGCTAGCCCCTTCTAGCTTGTCCTATATAATAAGGTCGTCGATAGGTATACAGTTGCTATTAAACTAGTCCTTATAGACCGTAGAAGCGTTATTTAAGCCTTATCCGCTATCTATTAACTTCTAGCGGTTAATATACTTATTAACCTGCTTCTGTAATAGCTAATTGTCCTTAAACTCGCTATTAAACAGTATATAGTTATAGGGCTAGTACTAGCTAAGGAAGAATAGGCAAGGGCACTCCGAAGGCGTCTCTCCGTCGACTGTAGATTTAGGCTGTAACTAAGTAATAGCACCTCGCTTAAGGCGAGAGCGTGCGATATTATACTGCTTAGCAATCTTCTTCTATAGGAAGTAGGGTAGTTCTTAAAGCCTCGAATAGCTAAGGTTACAGAAGAGAGGCAATTAAAGCATAGAGGCTTCGCTATCGTCGGTATTATAATACTAGTAATCGTTAATATTAAGGGAGTATATAAGGGCGCCTACGAGTAACTAGTTATAGATTATCGTCTCGTTACCGCGCTTATAATAGGCATAGTAGCCCTCGATATAGCTAGTCGTACGATCCTTCGAGGTAAATTAGCTCTACCTAATATACTATAATAGGACTAAATAGCTATATTTACCTATAAAACGCGTAGATTGCCCCGGCGTGCGTATATATACTAGAGCTCGGTATACTAAATAGTCTACTCTCGTTAGAAGTAGGCGAATAATAGGTCCTGTCGTCTACCTAGTAGCGAGACCTCTATAGCCTATATCTATTAAGTAGCCTCTTTACGATCTTCCGCAAAGTATAGAGCGCTAAATAGAGCCTCTTGCGTCTTTTTATAACTACGTTTAATACTAAACTTCTTCCTTATTATCTCGACGATATAGCGCTAGCAAAGGAATATCGTAATATTACTATTAAAAGCAATCTAGAAAGCAGCTTGTTCGCTTATAGAGTTATTAGTAATAGTCTATCGGAGGTGCTAACTACTAGGCTTCTTATAATCGGCCTACGAAGACAAGTGCTAGAAGCTAGTCGCAAGAACGATAGTATACTAACTCTTAACTAGTATATAGGCAATAGGAAGCTAGTTATTAGCTTTATCTCGTACGAAGAGGTTAACTAAGAAGAAGCCGGCATTGTTAGTATCGTATATAGCGTCTTGCGATAAGAACTAGCTATATCTCTTTAGTAGTTTAATGCCCTTCTTAGTCGCATAGACAATGCTATATTTAAGCCCTTTAGAAGTCGGTACGTAGAAGACCTAGTACCGATAGCTACGATTGATCGTACGCTCTTCCGCCTCTTAAACTTGCTATATAATAGCGCTCTTGCTAGGTATAACGTACCGCTTATTACGGTAATAATGTAGCGACTAGCGGCTAAGGTTATATAGCGTTTAATAGCTAGTCGACTTTCTACTAATATTAGCGTAGTTATTAGTAAGGAAATCCTTTACTCGACTCGTCCGTAGTAACTAATCTAGCAACTTCTAGCCTGTTTCTTTAAGATAGGCATTCGACCGCCGTATATCGTATTATTAGAGGGTATAGGTATACTAGTAGCGATAATCGGAGCGCTTAATAACAATATTAATAAAAGAGCCCTGCTTACTATCTTAATATATGTCTACTACTAGGCTAACCTTGTAATAGTCGTTAGCAGCAAACTCGGGTTTATAATAGCTACTAGTAGTACCTTCTATACTCTTCTTTATACCTACTGCCGTCCGTTTCGACTTAATATAACGATAGTATGCCTTAGAAATAAACCTGCTACTAGTACGATCTACCTTTACGTTAGTAACCTTATTATAACTATATATATTAGGTGTAGGCTTTATGCTAGCTAGGAAATCGTCGTACGGTAATAGAATATCCTTCTCGGCGAAGAATAGCGCTTCTCGAAGAGCCTTAAAGTTAGTGTAGCTATTAGTAGGCGCTAGTTCTAGTTCTACTATTGTAGCGATATTGCTAAAGTGGTAGAGGCGATAAAGTACTGGACGTTCTGGAAAGCCCAAAATTATGCCTCGAACGCGTGCAAATTCGTGGGTCTTGGCGGGAACACAGAAACGTTATCAATTTCGGATTCTCTACGGACCGACTTAAGCGAGATTTGGCGAGGTGCCAGTATACAGATACCTGTTGGCTGCACTAGAGATGGCACCCCAAGCTTCCGTGCTGTCGCGGGACCTCTAGCAAACACTTTGGAAGATGTGACCGGGACTCAGCAGCACACATTGTACATAAATCGAGACGACAAAATGCGTGCTTCTCATCATCCATTTCCCTCGTGTCTATATATCTTTTATCTCGAACTCGAACTTATTCCTTCTTGATCGGCAGAGCTGGAAGCGAAATCACACCACCGCGCTGCGAAAACGTCTGGATCGCCTGGTCAAAATCCCCATCGATCTGACGAGCAATGAGTGGTCCAAATTCCTTATATGGCGACGCAAGTTTGGCAGTAATAGCAGTACCGAGCTCATCGCTGTAACCCTGGAACAGAAAGAAAGAGAGAAGAAAAAAAAAGTCATTAAACGATATTTCGGCAAGAAATTTTCAAGTTTTTTTTTTCTCACATACCTTCTGCTCCGTCTCAAAGTCTGCTTAGAATAATCTGCTGCGAAACCGAGATGATCGCAACAACGCTATCAAACGCAGATTTCTTCGATTGCGGGTTTGTAAGGAAAGATTGCAAGCTATCCTTGAGCGCTAGCACAGCAGCCGCGACCTGGTTGTTCAGGGTGCTGGTGGAATTATCTGCCGGGATAGGTTGGGATGCTTGAGCGGTCGAAGTTGCGGACTTGACTGCGTTGCCCACGTCGGTGGATTGTAGTTGGATTTTCAGGACTTTGAGTAAGCCGTCGAGGTCGCCTTGGTGGAAGGAAGTCACGGTGCTGTTGAGGGTGGTGAGTTTGGATTGGAGGGTTTTGACGGCGCTGGGGATGCTGGCGGCGTCTCGTTTCTCGATAGTAGCTGGTGGGATGGCTGAGGCGATGGTGAGCAAGCTGCTCACGAGCAATGTGCCGAAACGCATGGTGGATGGTAGGAGTGGTGTTGAGTGAAGAGGTTCGTCGGGAAGTCTGATCGAAAGAAAGCTTGACTGCTATTAAATCGTACCGAACATGAGGATGTCTCTCATCAACATATATCGGATAGCCTCACGACGTGGTATGCACTATTTTGCGGGGCTCCGCGAAGATCCGAAGCTTGGCCTCTCACATGATGCCCGGAACGAAGTAGGTGAATGTCGAGTTGGTTTCCCATGTCAGCCAGCTGTTTCTTGAGATCCTGAGCATTGTCGCCACAGCGCAAGAAATACACATGGGAAGAGAAATATTAATTGAATGTTGCCTCGGTGTCCGAACTATATGCTGACCGCTCCACTTTTTCCTTCCAGGCAAGATGCAGCGGAGCAGCATGCCACCAATGCACGGGCAGCCGGTGACACAAGGCCGCAGGACCAAATTGTTCAAGAAACTATGCAGGATCTTAAGGACCAATGTGCAGCAAGCCATGCCAGCGGTGCTAGCTCAGGACCAGCGAGTACTGGTGCAACCAAAGGACTTTCGCCAGCTCCATTGGGAGGGTCATCGTCCGGCCCTGGGGACTCACTGGCCTCAAATCTTCTCCGCGCCACGAATGCCCTCGATTGTGCTAATCCTCTTGGCGGAGGCAGCGGCGGCGGAGATAGTGGCCCTCTGAGCGGTCTCCGCGGCAGTCTCGTACCTCAAAGCACTAGCTACACGGAAGCATTGATCGATCAGAAAGGATGATATCAAGTTCAGGCGGTCGCCATATCTTTAGCTATAGTGAGGAGCGGATGATGCAGGATTCCAGGCTGCTCCAGGTGGAAAAATTGGCTCCAGTGCTTGGTTTCATCTAGAACGCAATCATTCTTCGTCCACTCAGAATACCTGCCACACCTTTCTGAACTTGATTGAACCTCGTAGCCCCGCAGCTCTCGCTCTCAAGATGGTTGAATAGCTGTGCTATGGCAGAGAATTGCTTTCCGCACTTCCTGCCAAAGCAGTGATAGACCTTCTGCTTGTGGAGTGGCGAGCTGAGGTGCTGATTCAATGAGTTCAGGGAAGCGAAGTCTCTGTGGCACAAGTAGCACTCGTACGCGTAGCCGTTCCAGCAAGCATCGTTTGCAACGTAATCGTTGTTTTCTTCGGAGCGCCATGTCAGCTGCTTGTTGGTGATCAAGCCGGTGGTGTCCCTCGAATTGATGATGTTGTAAACCGTCTCGCGATTCAGATTGCGTGCTTTTGGGCAAGATCCTGTCTCGACATGGTGTGCCACGCCGCTCGCGGTAGTATGAGGCTTCTTGCAGAAGGGACAAGAGATGCTTCCAGCTCGATGTGTGGCGCCACGCAAATGCTGTGCCATGCGAGTGTCAATGACTGTTCTTGTCTGATCAGATGGAGCTAGCCTACCTGTTGTAAATTGTTTGCGTTCTGGAATCCTCGCTCGCAATCCTCGCACCAATGCTTTCTCCAGTGGCTGGTAGTATTCATGTGCGAGATTGCTTCGGCATTACTCCAGAAGCGTCGAGTGCACGCCTCACACTCAAATTGTGGTTGCCAATGGTCACATGTATCCATGTGATCGTCCGTCCGCCACTCTTGCAGCGACGAGAAACTGCAAGTCTGACACTCAAATCGCTGTCCCCAATGGCCGAGAGCGTTCATGTGCTGTTTACATGCCTGCTCGGAGCCAAACTCGCGACTGCAGGTGTCACACTCCCAATACATGATTGCTGATCGGCTTCTGCCAGGAGGTTTGTGTAGTAGAGTAGGCAGCAGGACCACGGAGAGAGAAAGTGAGACGTCGTCCAGGAAAGTTGATGTATCAAACGGCCAGGCGCTACAGGGTTCAGCTTAGTCACCACGACCCCGCAACTCAAACTAAAATTGGATTCGTGGGCAAGCGTGAATTTGGAAGTTTCCTCTTGAGGGATCCTTGCCAAGCCTGGGTCAATTACTGGGATCATCTTGGCAGTCAAAATGAGTCAGATGGTATTTGGAAGACCAACAGTATTGGCAATATAATGTAGACTAGCTCCTATTGTGAAAATCAAGCCCCAGCAGCAGAGATCTCCCACTCTCGATCCCAGCTGGAGATGGACCATGCTTTGGAGCGTGTAAATACAGCACTAGGACCAAGGAAAGACTGCGGCCTCCTTCGCAGCACATTTGCTTGACCAATCTCGTCTCTCCCTCATCGATCATGATCACCCTCCCCAATACCGTCGTGCCCTTCACTGGGACCAGTATCGGTCTTCCCTCCGGTCTTGTGGTTCTTCGCCGCACGACAGTCCGTGTGCACACTCATGGAATTGTCCATCTGAAAACACATCCGATTGTGCGACTCCGTGTATTTATTCACTACATTCCCTTTGCAATGCTTCTCATCGTAGAACGTGATATTGCAGCGCGTGAAAGAGTCGCGATAGTCGGTGCCTTGGTACCAGTTTGGGATATGAAAGATGCCATAGCCCTCGCCATTGCTTATCTTCTATGACTGCATACATTGTGAGCGTATGTTGACAAGGTCCAGAGCAAGGGACAGGCAGGTGTACTTTGCAGGTGTGGGCTTTGATTTCGTCTTTGCTGAGGAATGTAACGATTTCTTTGCCTTGCTCGTTCTTAGGTTTGGGACAGGTTGCGTGATCATTTGGGCAATTTTCGAGGAAGCCTGGACAAGTATTTCCCCACTACGAAAACCGAAGGGTACGAGGTTAGCAAGTATCTCAGATATGGTGCATGTGTTAGATTCACCAGACTTACCCAGTATCGAACCATCGTCATCTTCTGGTTACCAGCTAGGGCGGAGGTGATTATGCCCGCCAGAAGGCAGAAGCTCGTAATGCTGATAAGCTGCATGTTGCTTTGTCGCCTCGATTGATGGTGTTGCTGAAGTTCGACAGAAGTTGTGAATTTCTCAAAGAATGCGAATGAGGATGGGTTGTCTAGATTGGTGATAAAAACCTAAGATCGCGAGATCGAACTCTTAGCTTTCTGCGGCATGAGCTCGTTGAAGGCAGCGGCGCGTCGCCCATCTGCGCCTACTTTAATGTGACTGCCGCATCGCTTCTCTCTCGCTCATTGCCGCCTTTCCCACTGGCAGCCGCTCTACGCCACCCTTCTCAGCATGGCGACGACAACAACTCCCGTCGTTCATCACAGCCTCCGCCAAAAGGGGTGTGTGGTGTTATTCCACGCCTGTAATCGCATCAAGTCTTCACAGCATCGACAATGGCCCAAAATTCGGAATACTGCGCCGATGTCTGATGTCCTTCGGCTGGTCGGCTTTCATACCATGTGGCTCGGTAGCAAAAAGTTCGCGATGCCTTCCTTCACAGCATACTCATGTTCACAGTTACCGCAAGCCAGCTTTCCAGAAGCCACACTCGTCTCCATGAGTAGCGTGTGAAGATCTTTGAGTGTCTGCGAAGGATTCCCGTCTGCTCCAACAAGTTCATCCTCTGATGGGGTCTCAGCGGGCAAATTTGGCAGGCCAAGCTGGACCCAGATCAGCATGCGTCTCCCAATCATGCATACACATCACTATCATACCTCCTGCGTCAGCTGCTTCATGGCTTCCCAGTCTAATTTTGGCAAGATGTTCTTGATAAAAGTCGGATTTATCTCAAGCTCGACCTGCTCAAGTTCTGCTTCCTTAGGATGCAGTGGGAACGCCGCTGGCGACGACTTGCATGTCTTTCTCGCGCAAGTCAAGAAGTTCAACGTAAGGATCTTCATGTTTGCTGAAGAAAAGTGTCGATGACAGTGACGAAGTTGAGAAGGTCGTGATTTCTTGATCGTTAAGTTTTCTGAAGTCTTCGGCATGAGGTGCCGAAAGCATAACTCTGTTTTGAACCAATCATATTTTCCGCCAAGGCTGCAGTGTCAAGGCAAACAAACGCTTCACCAGCAACAGCGTTATCGACATCACACTCATCGACACCATGTCAGCAGAGCCAGAGTCAGCGCCAAATGGCGACAGTGGAGATGCTCGCGATCCTTCCGGCTTCTTGAGCGAAATCATCGGCGCGCCTGTCACGGTGAAGCTTAATTCTGGAGTGGTATACAAAGGTCAGCTTGACACCGCGAAAGGCAAGCAGTCATACTGACACAATGATAGGCGAACTCCAGTCCGTGGACGGGTATATGAACATTGCATTGGAGGACAGCAAAGAATTCGTGGACGGGAAGCTGAGAAGAAATTATGGAGATGCGTTCATACGAGGGAATAATGGTATGCGGCGGCCCTGTTATGAGCATAGCATGGCTTGAGGCTAATTCCAAATGCAGTGATGTACATTTCTGCAGATGCAGCGCAATGAGTGGGCAGAATATGCCGTAGGGTGTCCAGATAACTACTGGCCGAGCAACATAGTGATGCGGTCTAATTCTATGGACGCATATGCCACGATGAAATGGCGAGACTCAGTTTCTGACCATCGCCAAATCAAGTTCCAGGCCGCTCGACCCCAGTCAAGCTCTCGCGTCCCTCAGCTGGAATTTTAGTCGTCCAGACCAGATATGTATTGCCGTGAACGACAACATTACCAGCATCTCTCTCCACATCGGGTGCGCCAATAGCGTCCATGAATGTCTTCTTCGTCTTTTCCAGCTTCTCATCTCTCAAAACAGATATATACCCCAGCGTTCGATATCTTTCCCAGACCTTGTCTACAGGTAACGCCACCTGCCATGGCTCATGGTACTCAGCGATGGGTAGACTAAACAGCTGATCATCGCTCGCCTTGATTAGTGACAGGGGTGTCATTTTTATCTGCTCATCGAAGACCTTCTTCCATTGCAGATGTCTGAATCTTGGCTCTTGATCGCCAAGCTCCTCAGACACCTGCCATGTTAAGTCTTTCGCCGTCTGCTCCCAGGCCGAGGAAGGCTTGTGCTTTTTGGAATTGTTGTAATCCTCGATATTCCAGATCAGGCCCAGTGCGCCATGGGATTGCAGCACACGATGTATCTCCTTCAAGGCGGACATAGTTGCGAACCAATGAAATGCCTGAACAGACGGAAGTAGGAATTCTTTAGCTTACATTCTAGCAAGATGAGACCACGGGCACCTACCTGTCCAACCACAACAGCATCCACGGTTCCATCTCTAACATTCTCCATATTCTCTGCCGTGCCACTTACTACCTCAACTCCCTTCAGTTGTTTGGCCGCCAAGACTTGTCTCATGTCATCGTGAGGCTCCACTGCGACGATCTTGTAGCCCTCATCTCGACTTGCGAGAACTTCAGTGAGCTTTCCAGTTCCAGCTGCTAGGTCGAGAATTGTTGCACCCTTCTTGTCAGCTACACCCAGTTGTTCAAGAAGATATTGGACATGTTCGGGAGAGTAAGTCGGGCGATGCTGGTCGTAGGATTTTGCATTAGCGAAGCCCGCCTGGGCTCGCGAGTTAATTTGCGGTGCTGTTGATGACATCTCCGCTGGTCAGTTTATCTTGTGACCAAGTCGATGTTTGGCGAAACTTAGGTTGAGTTGATGTTCGGCCTTCCGTGTTCGTTGGAGAGCGATGACGGAAGGAAGGTCAGCCGGCTCAACCCTTCGGTGGGCACCTTTAGTGATTCTTCACTATTTGGTGGCGCCGAGAGGACAATAGCAGGCCATATACTGCTATTGTAATCGGTTTCACGAAGAGCGCCTTTACGCGGAGAACTTAAGGGATATACAGCGGACCTTCTTACAACCTCTAGGCCTATCTAAGAGGGTCGGATAACACGCTAGCTAAATAGCTCTTTATATATAAACCCCCCGACGGAAGCCTACTAGACTAGAGCCCTTAGGAGCGTCTAGAGGCCCTTTAAGGCCTACTCTCCTTCCCTTTTCTCCTCCTCCGCGGTACAGGTATAGCGGCGGTAGCGGCAATACCGGCTATAACGAAAGGGGCCTAGTAAAGAGATTTTTAGGGGCGTCCGAAAGGGGTACCGAAATTAGGGTTAGTAGTACCCCTTAGCGACGGTAGAATCGCCTAAAAGCCTCTAAAGTTATATTAATAAAGATAATAGAATACTCTCGTAACGTAAGACCTAGCCTTAGCTATACTTTACGCCCGCCTTCGAGTATTTAACAATCTTTATTAAATTTGTTAGTTACTAGTCTATCTAAGGAAGCTAGTAGACGCTTACGCAAGAATTAGCTAGATACTACTAGTAATAGTAAGTCCGCGAACGACTTAGACGCTACTCTAAGTCCGAGTAAACAGTTAGAGACTAATGCCTTCGTAGCAAGTTTCCTAAGGATAGCGCGCTAAGATCTAGGGGATTAGGCCGATAAGCCCTAAAAGGTCGAGGACTAACGTACCGCAAAGAAGGAACGGAAGAGTAAGAAGAAGGAGAAGCGGGAGGCTAATAAGACTAAGAGAGCTAAAACTATTGCTACCGAAGGCTCTAATAGTAAGGCTCTAACTCGGCTATATAGACGCAATAGGTATACGAGCCTAAAGTACCTCCCGGCCGACTACCCTAGTAGTAAACTAATCTCTAGTAAAATAGAGATTAATAATTAAGCTGCTACCTAACCGACGCCGCGCCCGTTAACCCCTAACGCTTCTGCTTTTAAGCCGTTACTAATTAGACGAAAGAGGGGAACTACACCTTTAATAGTAGGCTCCCCTTAAGTAGAAGTACCGAGGAAGAAGAGTAAAGCACCGAAGGATAGGCCCTAGAAGGCCTACTCCGAGAGCCGCGGTCGCTCTTTAAATATTAAGGACGTTACGTAGTCCTTATTAGAGACGTCTATCTTAGGATCGAGCTCCTCTAGAGCCGCTAGCTCTACTACGGCCCGACTAATACCGGCTATTTATAAGCTAAAGGCTACTCTTACTAAAACGTCTATAAGGGCGAAGAACGTTTCGAGTAGTCTTTTAGATAATACGGCTTATTAGTATACTAATAGAAGGCACCTATTTATTAGGTAGCTGTCCGCTCTATCGGACGACCCGCCTAAACGACTATACCCTTTTATTAAGGCGGCTTTTCGATCTAGTATAGTACTAGTCGGTAGGATCGAGGAGGCGGTATACTAGGTAGGGGGCTTTATTGTCGGTTTATACCGAGTTAAGGACGCCTGGAGAGCGTTAGGGAAAGACTTTAACTGTAATAGTTATCGGATAGAGGTTAGTCTGTTTCGGACTAGCGGACCTAGGGTATTCTACTATAAGAACGCCCTGCCCTCGAGTAGTTACCTAATTGCTACTACAATTGCTAGCCTTAAAGAGCGTCTAAAGGATATCTCCTTTTAGTTAGGTTAGCAAGTCGGCTTTAGTGCCTGTATAGGCTAATTTGTTCTTTGTTTTAATAGGGTTTGTAGTATCTAATAGGTTAAGATTCCCCTAGGGAAGGCTAACCTAGGATACACTAAACTATTTATAGCTCTCTTTATAGCGGCAAAGCTTGACTAGTCCTATAATGTTTGTAATAAGGCTTACCCTACCCTAGCCTATCTAGAGGTAGAAACAGTTATCCTTACAAATAAATAGGGGGTCGAGTCGATGCTACCTTTCAAACCTAAGTTATAAAGGGACTTAATATACGTATTTGCTCTTTAAATGTTAACTCGGTACGCAATCCCGCTAGATTCCGTACGGTCTATAAGTTTATAAGAAGCCGCTAGTTTAATATTATATTGCTTTAGGATACGCGCCTAAGTAATAAAATGTCTTTATATTATAAGCTAATGTTCCTAGGTATCCTCTTCCTTAATAACCCGTCGGTTGCGGATAGAGGAGGCGTAGGTATCCTAGTTAATAGCTTTACTACTGCGTTTGCTAAAGGCTTACCCCTTTACGCGGACCTAGATAGGAGGCTTTTAGTTTATAGGTTAATCTGTAAAGAGGTCGTATTTACTGTCTCCTATATATACGCCCTAGCGAACATTAGACCGAGGCTTAAGTACTTTAACTAAGCGTCGATAAGATTAAGTAAGTTAGCAGAACCTATTAACTGTAACATAGTTAGAGGGGACTGGAACTAGTGCTCCCTAGGCATTAATAGAAGGAGCGGGGCTCCTAGTCGGGTTTCGGTAGTCTTAGCTATAAAGCAATTTATAGGTAAACTGCGATCTAATAATACTAACTTTATTAATAGATAGAGAGAGCTCTATCCTAACCGCATTGAATTTACGTATTTTATTCTATCCTCCGGGATATCGAGGATTGACCGTATTTACGTACAGGCTAACTAGTTTAGTAGGATAGCTTAATAGCGAATACTATTAAATAGCGGGATTTCCGACTATAAGGCGGTATCTATTAAAATTGGACGGCCTGAATCTAATAAACGAGGACTAGGGAGATAGCGGTTATACCTATTAATACTAGACAAAAGATAGGTAGTAGCTAGCTACTACTAAGCTCTTGTCCTATTACCCTATAAGGACCTTATTAGTAAATAGCCTAAGTATAAAGCGGGCATTTAAGCCTGCCTTCGCCTAATAATAGAGGAGCGGTATAAACGATTACGCAAGCTCTCTAGGAATTTGACGAGGTAGCGCTCGACTTTAATAAGTAAGCGAAGGTCTAAAGTAGTAGATCGAGACCTAGAGCTTAGGATCGAGGCTATAGAGGTAAAGGAAAGTTACCTCGCTAAGTAGCAATTTAAGAACTACTCTTACTACGCCCTAGCTAAGTACTTGCTACTAGGAGAGCGGCCTACTAAGTAGTTCTTCTCTTTATATAAGGCAATAACGTACACCTATATCTCTAGCCTATTAGACAATAAAGGTATAGTTCGAACTAAACCTAAGGAACTCTTAGCTATTGCCGGACAGTTTTATAAGGAGTTATATACTAAAAAGCTATCGGCTAGGTAGGCCCGCAATAGGATCTTGAACTATTTAGATAAAAGGATTAGTACGAAATTGGCAGAGGACTATATCGACCTTAACTATATAGATAAGGTTTAGTCATCGCTTAAAAGAGCGGCCGTAGGGAGGTTGCCGGGGTTTAATAGCTTACCTGCTAAGTATTATAAAGCTCTTATCCGCGCAGAACCGAGTACCGTACGAATTGGGACTAATAGGAAAGTAGAACAAGAACCGCTACTAATTGCCTACCGGATCGCTAAGGTTAGTAAGCAAATAATGGTTAGGAACGAGCTCCTAAAGGGATAGACAGACGGTATCCTTACCCTTCTCTATAAGGAAAAGGGCTCTCCTAAGGAGCTAAAGAATTACCGACCGCTATCTATAATAAACGTTAATTATAAGATCTTTACTAAGGTTCTTATACAAAGGATAGTATACGCATTAAAGGATGTTATCGGCCCCTATTAAAGTGCCTTTTTACTAGGGCGCTTAATTAACGACAATGTTAGGACAGTTTAGTTCCTAATCGACCAATACCGACCTCGAGGTAATAGACCCCCGATTAATGAAGAGCCTATCGCTATCCTCTTCCTAGATTAGGAGAAAGCCTACGACAGAGTTAGCTATACTTTCCTTTAGGCGGTATTAAGCAAACTCGGCTTCCTAGACTAGTTTATTAGGTGGATTAAGCTATTGTACTCTAATGCACGTACTCGGGTTTACTTAAACGGCTTCCTTAGAGATTCGATTCAGGTTTACTATAGCGTACGCTAAGGTAACCCTATAAGTTGTCCTCTCTATATCGTAGCTATTAAGGGATTGGCCTAACTTATCCTAAGGGACCTAGAGATTTCTAGGGTCTTTACGAAGGGACAGGTTATTAAGCTAATAATGTATATAGATAATACGGCGGTAGTTCTGCGTAATTAATTAGAGGCAAACGCCCTAATAAAAGCGCTTAATATATACTCCGTAGTATTAGGTGCAAAGGTTAACTAGGATAAATTATACATCCTCTATATCGGCAATATCTAACTATTAGCTTTACCTAGTGTCTAGGTAGTCTCTCCGGAGCACCCCTATAAACACTTAGGGATCCTAGTAGGGATAGACATCGATATATAATTAAAGGACTTCTAGGTAAAGATCTAGGACAAGTTCGAAACGGTAGCCTCCTAATAGTTAAAATATTACCTATCTTTGAAAGGGAGAGTGTTAGTAGCGAATGCCCTAATAATGTCCTTGCCCCGATACGCGATAAGGTTCCTTAAAGTCCCTACATTAACGAGAAAGGCGTTAGAAAAGGAGTACTATCGCCTAGTATAGGATAGCCGGAGACACACGATTACTAACCTAAAAGCCTACTACGCGAGAAAGGAAGGCGGCTTAGGCTATATAGATATTAACTCTATTATTAATAGTAGTGTTACTGCTACTATAATACGAGCCACTACTAGACCTAGTCTAGTATAGGCCTCTCTAGCGAACGAGGTATTAGTGGGATGCGCTAGTACCTAGTCTATTAATAATACAGTTACTAACCCCTAGATCTAGGCCTTCTCTTCGCGAGTTTAGGCGGTTCTAGGTTCGGTAGGTTACTTTTAGAGAAGGTAGAGTTCACTCTATAACTTTACTAAGGAGGACTGTATTATTATAATAGACCCGCCGAAGACTCGTAATAATATACTATCTACCGCATTGTTCTACTACCCCCTAATCTCTCCGGGACTAGGGGCGGGGGCAAGGCGGTAGAATAGCAAGGGATAGAAGCTACTCTAGAATGTAGGGGCTCGGCTATTAGGGGACGTATAGGACCCTAATAAAAGAGCCCCTAATATTCCTGCTATAATTGTTAGTAGAAGTAACATTAATAGGGCCCGTAAGGCTATTAGGGGCTTAATTAAAGCCCTACCGACGGATTGGCGGGCCCTACTTAATAAGAGGGATAGACCTTAGAGATCTCGGCCTCGTTATAAATACAAGTTTAGAACCTATAGCGACCCGGCTAAGCTTAGCAAATTCGGCTTCGCTACGGCGTATAGGACTTTCGTTACGAGGCGCCTAAAGGGATATAGCTTTAATAGGCTAACCTAGAGGTATCTCTAGGCATATAAGTTAATAACGGGATATAAAATAGACCTAGAGGACCTCTAGAAATCACTCCGCCTCCTATACGGCACGCTAAAGGTAGGTAACCTGCTCTAGCGGATCGTATATAGAAAGGTCTAATCGGGCTCTTAGCTTACCTAAATCGAACCGGTATAGCAGATATGCCCGGTAGACGGGAGGGATCTCTCCCTAAACTATATTTAGCTAGACTGTAAGGTCTCTAAGGCGGTTTAAGAGGAGTTCTACTTAATATAGTATAGAGTCTCCTCGGTTTAAGTTCTAGAGGTAAGGACGTTAGACGGGCTAGTAGTCTTAACCGCCTTTTTACTAAACCTCCGTAGATTAGATAAAAGGCGCTAGCTCGTACTAAGCTAGGCTCTAGTATAGGGTTTATAGAAGTGTTACCTATTATACTCCTTTACTAAGCCGGTTAACTATTAGCGTATCGATACGGCAGTTAAGTTTTTTAGGATATTAATTAGGAAACAGGTCTACGTTAATCGGATAGCCTGCTTAACTAATAAGTATACAGGAAAGAAGTATAACGCGAGGACCTTTAAGTAACTCTAGGGGTAGGAACCGAAGCAGGTTAGGATCCGACGGGAGCCTCGGATCCTTTAGTAGGTATATATTACTAGAGGGCCCTTCTAGGCTTTAGTATTATTGGATTTGGAAAGGATTATATAGGATTAAAGTAGCGTAGTATTCCAGTCCTCGTACGCTCTTCCCTTGAATTGAGTAGGTACGGTACTAATTACTATCGACGGAAGATAGTATATAGGGGAGCGATAGTAGAAGGGTTCGACTCTCTTAACGAGCTACCGGTGCCGGGTATCTCCTCTATAGCAGTTGATAAATAGCAGATAAGGTGGTAGCTAGCTGCTATATAGTTAGCTGCTGAAATAAAAACAATCTTATTGCTCGAAGGTCAGCCGGCTCAAGCTCCAGTTATCAAGCCAAGACCTGCTAAGCCCTTTCAAGGCCAACTTGGAAGAAGACTACTGATCTCGAATTTCGAGCTGATCTTACAATTTGGATATTGAACGGAACAATGGCATTCGAGGAAGTTGCGATTATTGGTGCCGGTCTCTGTGGCTTGACTCTGGCCATCGCTCTGCAACGCAGCGGTATCAAAGCCACCATCTACGAGACCCGTTCCGTTCCGAATATGGATCAAATACACCAGGAGCAATTATGCTGTCTCCAAACGGACTGCGATCTCTCGATCACATAGGCGTATATGATCGAATCGAGGACAACAGCTACTCCTTCTCATATGGCTACTTCCGATCTAATGACCATATAGTTGTCGGCGAATACGAAATGGGAAATGCCAAACGATACGAATACGATGCGATGCGGATATATCGGAAAGTCCTACTCGATGAATTGCGACTAATGGCGCAGGAAGCCGGCGTGCAAATTCAGTATGGAAAGAAGTTAGCCCGTATCATCAGCGAGGATGATTCTGGTGTACAATTTGCTTGTGTCGATGGCCAGGAACACCGAGCAGATTTGTTGGTCGGTGCCGATGGCATACATAGCACAGTTCGACGCCATCTTTGTCCGGACGTGGAGACTGTGTTTTCCAACGTCTTATCGATAATTACTGCAGTCCCGACATCTGCAGTGAAGTTTCCTTTTGAGCCATACGACTTGCCATCATCCATCCATCACGAAAGCGGTGCATTCATCTTGGCTCCTCAAGGTGCGCACGGCGAAGAATTGCTGCTCGCCACCCAGCAGGTCACGCATGAGAGAGATAGAGCTGGATGGGTTGCGCTTGTGAACGACAAGGAGCACTTGTACAGTTTGATGAGACAGGATTATGGAAAGTGGAACTCCAGTGTCCAGAATGCGCTCGATGCAGTAGATCCGGAGAAGATATTCGTGTGGCCTTTCTACTCAGTGCCAAAGCTCCCGAGTTGGAGGTCTGAAGCTGGGAAGGTCGTCATGCTGGGAGATGCTGATCATGCAATCCGTAAGTCACCAATCTGCATGGATCTACTGCTCTTCTCCTGACATTATGACTTACAGCACCTGCTGCGGGCCAAGGTATCAACAAAGGCTTCGAAGACGTCGAGTCCTTAGCTCTTCTGGTCGCCGCAGCGAGCGAGAAAAATGTGCCCTGGGATGAGTGCTTGAAATGGTGGCAGCAATACCGAGAGGGGCGTATCGACCATGTGACCTGGCTTACCAACGAGATGAATAGACGTCGCATGCCTGGTTGGGATGGCACCGACGTGGACCCCATCGACAACAGCGAGCTGTTTGGTCAACGACGTGCAGAAGTGGCTGGATAGTCGACAACCCTGACATCGCGAGTGAGCACCAAGCTGAATACCCACGAAATGCTCCCCAGCATCAATCCCTTCGCGGCGTCATGAGCACTGACTGCGTAATACCATGTCGATTCACCCAAGTCATTTCGGGTTGTGAGAAGAGGAAGCCCAAGCGGTGTCCAGGAGTGAAGCACCGCCCATATTTTAGGCGCCTCAGGCACACGCCCCAGGCTGACAAACTTTGCGGGGCACTATTAAAGTTCCAAGACCCCGTCACTCTGTTCACATGCATTGAATTATTTGCACGAGCCGCGACATCATACACGAGATTTTGCTGTTGTTCGAGTTCCGTGCTGCGCATACAACAGACCATCAAGCTCGACCACCGCTTCAAGAGCCAAGACCTGAACTTCTCCACTAGACATGGCGACAGCAACATCGACAGCTCCAACCGCAGACGGCGCGGGAGAAAATCAGCCCAGAGGCGGACATCGAGGTAGAGGGAGAGGGAGAGGGCAGAGAAGTGGTGAACGAGGCGGCTATCCGGGAATCTCAAATGACCGAGGCGAAGATAGGACCGCTGTCGATACAGGCAGAGGTCGTGGAGGTCGAGTTCGAGGTCGTGGCAGAGGAGGACGCGGCGGAAGAGGAAATCGAGACAGAGCGGCCAGCAACTCGCAGCAGGACTCAGCCGCGCTACAGCCACCACCCCAGCCCGGCGGAAACGGCGTCTTTGGTGCTCGCCTGACCAAAGACGCCGAGGAAAAGAATACCCAACAAGGCGAGAAGAATGAGGGTGCGGATGTTGCTGGGGATGATGTTGAGGCCGAGGTCTGCTTCATCTGCGCTTCTTCAGTCGCACATCAAAGTGTGGCTCCATGTAACCACCGCACCTGCCACATCTGTGCTCTGAGACTGCGAGCATTGTACAAGACGAAAGCGTGCGCGCATTGCAGAACCGAGGCCGCGACTGTGATATTTACCGATGACCCAGAGAAGAGATATGAGGATTACGATGCCAGCAAGGACTTCTTTCGGGAAGACAAGAACTTGGGAATATGCTATGAGAAGCCGGAGATCTTCGAGGATACTGTCATTCTGCTTCGGTACAACTGTCCCGAGGATGACTGCGATAGCGCTTGCTTGGGCTGGCCCGACCTGCACCGGCATGTAAGAAGTGTGCACTCGAAATGGATGTGCGACCTATGCACGCGAAACAAGAAAGTCTTCACACACGAGCATGAGCTGTTTACGAAACAGGAATTGCAGCGACATGAGAAGTTCGGGGACGACAAGCCCGGTGCCATCAACCAGAGTGGTTTCAAGGGACATCCGGAGTGCGGATTCTGTCGTCAACGATTCTACGGCGACGATGAACTGTTTGCGCATTGCAGAGACCGACATGAGAGATGTCATTTGTGCGACAGGCGTACGGGAGGAAACAACCCACAGTACTATTTGAATTACGAAGCCTTGGAGCAGCATTTTGGGAAAGAACATTATCCGTGTTTGGATTCTGAATGCTTGGAAAAGAAATTTGTGGTGTTTGACTCGGAGATGGATCTCAAGGCTCATCAGCTGGAGAATCATCCAAATGGTTTGTCAAAGGATGCCCGACGTGATGCACGACGAGTTGACATTTCCGCATTCAACTATCGGCCACAGTACGAGGAACCACGACGGGGCGGGAGACGAGGTGGTCGAGGTCGCGATCCGAACGCCGAGCCCACGCCTGCATCTTCTGGTGGGCACATGAGTCGTGCTGAGCTTGCCCACCAGCGAGAGCGTGAAATCCATTCTGCCCAATCTGTGACTGCAAGATCCTTTGGTGGCTCGCTATCGCAGCCGGACCCTACTCCAGCGCAGGTGCAGCGTCCAGCACCGAGTCCCAGGCCTGCAAACGCCCAGCCTGTAGCACCGCCTACTGCACCGCAATCGCCTAGGCCTGCCCCCGCCTTGACGCCAGCAGATCAAGCAAGACAGCTACGACATAACGCTGTTACTGAGCGAGCCTCGAATCTCCTGCGCAACGATAAGGTCAAACTCGATGAGTTCCGCGAACGAATATCATCTTACACGAAAGGCGCAATCAGTGCTGGAGACTTGATCGATGCTTTCTTCGCTCTCTTCGACACAGCATCAGATCAATTAGGCAAGCTCATCAAAGAACTTGCTGACATCTTCGAGATACCCGCAAAGCGAGAAGGCCTCCTCAAGGCTTGGTCGGACTGGAAGGCAATCAACGAAGATTACCCATCTTTACCAGCTCCGGCAGGCGCTAATGCTACAGCTGCCGGCGTACTTGGTTCTGGCCTCGGCAGCTCTCGTGTGTTGAAGCTCAAGAGCTCAACTGCACAGAGCTCGCGATCCGGAGTTGCAAGACGATACAATTCGGCTGCAGCCTCAAATTCTGCGAATCAATTCCCATCGCTGCCTCCACGCCACGGTGGTCCCGCGCCTAAAGGTCCCGCACCACTCGCGCCAACTCCCAGCTGGCTTGCCGCACATCCACCTACATCTACACCTACATCGCTTTCTATCACACCCTCTGGATCTGCTCGAGCCTCGCCAGCGCCCAGCAGAGCTCAATCTACTGCCAACTTGAGCGGAGCGAATGCGTTCCCTGCATTGCCTGTAGCGAAGAAGCCAACCAGCACAGTCTTCAGTCCCGGCTACACTGGAAGAGGAGTCATTAGAGCTGACTCCAACTACACCGGTGCCAATGCCTGGACTCCCGGTGGCGCTGCAAATGGAAGCGGTCCAACAGGTCCTCCGCCAGAGGATGAGAATGTTACACGGAAAGGCAAGAAGGGCAAGCAGATTGTCTTCAAATGGGGCTGATCTAGTACGCCGACCCCATCGAAATATCACGGATCACGAAGGCTTCAGCTTGTCAGCGATGCATTGAGTGACCGCTTATCCAAAGGCACATGAAATGTGAAACACAGCCTGAGGGCGTCCATGACGCACGGGTCGACGAGCTTGCAAAATCATTTCGAGCAGCTCACCGTTGACAGGGCACCAGCAAGCCTGAAGTCCATCAGTAAAACGATGATCGATCGACAGAAGCTACGGTGATTTGGAAGATTCTCACGTTGAAACTTTTTTATAGCAAGTACGGCATTCCGACACTGTATATATCCTCAAATAATGAGGCCCTTGAGAAGGAAGATCACGTTTGATCGCGACACTGCAGCAAAACCTTCCGTTGCGCCAAGCTCCACTTCCCTTTTCCCTCTTTGCCGGGAGATCTGCATGACGTGAAGCCTCACCTCCACAGCCTCGGATCAGATCGAACGTATGCTAAACACCAACTATACCATGAACAAATCACAGCGAAGGAATTGCGAGGAGCTCAATTACATTCCTCTAGTCTCTTCTCATTCGTTCCAACCTCTCGAGAACTTCATGCGAGGAGTACAAAGAAACCATAGACTTTCCGCGTTCACCAATCAGTATCAAAAGAAAGCACAACCCCGTAACTCAACACAAACGTCTCCAGCATGGCCGACCAAGGCGCCTGGCTTGCCTCCCAAATGCCCAAAGAATGTCTCCACGACTTCGAACAGCATCCATGGATCCAAAAAAATCCTATCCGATCCATCATGCAAAGAAATCCCCTTCCAATCCCGAACCATACCCCGGAATTCCAGTATCCATTCCCTCTTCAACCGCACACTCGCCACTCTCGATACTCTTCGAGCCTGTCAAGCTTTCCTCTGGATTCGCGATTGTAGAGAAAACGAAACTCCGGACTCTGATGATGGGAAACGGAAGAAAGAATGTCTTTTACTCGCTTCTATGGGACGTGGATTAGATGGACATCCCGGAATGGCGCATGGGGGAACGATTGCTACGTTGTTTGATGAGGGATTGAGTCTTGGTTAGCCTAATATTTTCTACTTCTGTGATTGATCTTTTATTGAGGGCTGGAGGACTGACTGACGTTTCTTGAGCAGGTGCATTACAAGTTCTGGAGAAGGCTTTTGTAACTGGACAGAGTACGATCAAGTATAAAGCTGCGGTGTCGACTCCTGGGATTGTTTTGGTGAGGTGTTGGTGTGGTAGGTTTGAGGGGAGGAAGGCTTGGGTTAAAGGGACGATGGAGGATGGGGAGGGGAAGGTTTATGCTGAGGCTGAGAGTTTGTTTATTATGGTTAAGGAGAAGCTGTGAGACATTCAAATTTAAAATTATCTGAATGAGAGATCGTTCGTACGGTACAGCATATAGCTGGGGAAGCAGAGTGAGGTGAGGTAAAGGTGATATTCACACCTAGCAGCAGCTCAGCTTGATTAAACATGGGACAACAACTGGGCCAGATACCAGTACCACTGCAGCATTTCTACACCCAGTGGTATTTTCAATCGACGCCCAACTGCCTCTCACACTGACTTCCTGACTGACCTCGAGCGATAGCTGAGGCTCCCTACCAGTTTCCTACAGCTTCTCAACGTTATACAGCATGCTGACTCCACTCTTAATCGGGCTCGTGGCTCTATATATCGGAAGCCGGGCATACAACGCCGCACGAGCAAGGCAGATATGTAAATAGAGCGAGACGGAAATAATGCCCAAGTTGATAGCTCCTGACATTCGATAGGCCGATGCTGCGTTCGCCGCGCAAAAGGGCTGCCAGGATCACTTGATGTAACTGATGTAATTAGGAAGAAGGACTAATCTATCTGGAAGTCCGAAGATGAAGTGCAGCAGTTGCAGCCTTAGGCATCAGGCACGTAATGGACCCTGACACCTGGACACACACTCCAAGTCACCCCCTCAGCACGTGCATATCGCCATAGAATGAAGCAAACCAAACACAATAGCTATTTAGTTGGCGAAGCAAACAGGGGTATTAGGTAAGCAGAAATAGGTGAACAAACTAGACCACTCTCAGGTTAAACAGACAAAGCAAACAAAGGCTCTTTCTTCTTAGTACTTAGCAGCTAGCTTTATAGCGCTCTTAATAGCGGCCTTGCAATCTACTAGGTTCAGTTGTTTAACAAAGCGGCCGTGCTTGATCTTGTTAAGCGGCTTAGTAAAGCTATCGGCTATCTAATTATATATACTAACCTATTAGACGATAATAGTACTATTAGCAATCTTCTCTCGAATATAGTAAACACGAGCATCTATATGCTTCGTACGGCTATCAATGCTAGTCGACTTAGTAATAGCAATAGCGGACTAATTGTCCTTATAGAGCGTAACTAGAAGAATATAGCCCTTATAGCCAATTTCCTTTAATAAGCGAGCTAAGGCAACTGCTTCCTTAGCCCCTATAGTAAGTTAAATATACTTAGCTTCAGTTAATAACAGTGTGACGAGTGTCTAGCGGCCGGACTTATATAATAGAGGTCCGCCTGCAATAGTAAAGTAGAAGCCGCCTATAGAGCGGCGGGTAACTAGATCGTTAGCCTATAAGGCATTATAGTATCTAGCAAAATTGAGCTTATCGTTTTGTGTGCCTTAGAAGCGCATGCTACGACTAAGGGTACTAACTAGGTACTTAATCAGCTAAAGGAGTGCGGCATAATGCTCTTTAGTAGGGTTAGAGATAAATCGTAACAATAGGCCTATAGTATAGCAAGCATTAGGTCGCGCAATTATAGCTAGCTACAGTGCCTTACTAACACCTTCTTAATACTAAGTCTTAAAGGCGGCACTAGCTATATAGCCCTTAGGTGCGCGTTAAATAGACGTCTTAATATAGCGAGGCGCTATTAGAGTAGCTAGACCGATACGGCTACGCATACTATATTTCTTACTAAGCCTATTCAAATAGGCATCTTAAACGACGTGAATAGTGCGCTAACCGCGGTTACGGATGATCCGCATACCGAGATAGTAGTATAGGTCGCCTAGTTCTCGCATATTAAAACGGTCCTTTAGCAACTAAGCTACTGCCTCTAGTGCTAACAGAGTATAAGCGATAATAATTATATCGTCGATATAGATAACAACAATAGAGCCGCTAATAACGTGTTTAAACATACACATATTAGCTATTATTAGCACAAAGTCTAGGCTCTTTAGGTACTTTCGAAGCTCTTCGTACTATAGCATTAGCGACTGTTTCAGACTATATAGTGCCTTTAGTAATAGGCAAACTATGCCCTTTCTACTACGGTCCTTAAAACCGTATAGCTGTTCGACGTAGATCTTATACTTATTACCGATAAGCGTATTAAGGAAGGCCGTTAGAATATTATACTGCTTAGCCTCTAGGTCGTAATAAGCGATTAGTGCAAACAGCGCTCGTAGCGTAGACGGCTTAGCTACAGCCGTATAGGTCTTATTATAGTCCTATCCTTTAACCTATATAAAGCTACGGACGACCTATTAAGCCTTAAACCGGCTTACCTTGCTATTAGCGTCACGCTTAATAGTAAAGACCTATCGACTACGAACAACCTTCCTGCCTTCTAGCACCTCTAACCGAGATATATATACCTATATATAGTTGTCGATTAGTAACTTGTATTTAGCCTTATAGGCCTCCTTCTATTATAGCTAGTATAGCGACTAAGTCGCCTCCTTGTAGCTCTTTGGAATAGGAATAGTGTCCTTAGGCTTATTAGGCTGTTTAGCAATGTAGTAGGAAGCTATAAAGCCCTTTATATAGGCTATCGGTATATTAGCTATTATGCGTCGAGTCGACCGCTTAATACTACAATTAGCTAGATAGCTACGCAATAGGTTACGAGCCGACTTGTTGCTCCGTATCTTGCGCGTAGAACGATTACTAACAGCTTCAGCTGGTCGCTTAAACTCAGGCAACTAGCCTAGCTCGCCCTTCTTAGCGTTTAGATTATATACTAGCTCTTCCTCGGCTAACTAAAAGCTATCTTTATTACTTAAAGCTAGTGGTTGAACGTCTAGAAGGTCGTTATCGATTAGTAATGGATTAGCGACCTTATTAGCTATTTCCTGTATAGGTCCTTGTACAGGCTGTTCTTCTTGCTAAGCTAGAAGACGCTAGACTATACTAGTAGCCTCGGCAGGCGACGGAGCCTCGTTGCTTATAGAATTAAACAAAGCCGGCATAACCGACTCGAGTGTAACAAACTCGTTCTTAGCTAGATTATTAGGATTGGCGTATAGGTTTATATCCTCTAGAAGCGACAACTTGTCGTCTTCTAACTTAATAAACTGGACATCCTTCGAGGCAACAACCTTGTATTCGTTAGACAAGTAGATTATGTATTTGCTAGAGTCTACTAAGCCCTTCGTATAACTAACTAGTTTGCTAAGCTTTCTACGAGCGTCAAACTTCTTGCTACGAGCTATACTATAGTCGTAGACAATAGCAGTATAGCTATAGGCTCGAAGGTGCTAAAGACGCGGCTGTGTTCGTAACTAATTAAGCTCCTTAGCGACAATAGTATATAGGCTTCCTCCGTTAGCGGTTAGCGTAATATTAAGGACCTGTATAGCGGAGGCAATAGCATATAGCTATAGGAACTTAGGAAGGTTAGCCTGCAGCATTATCTTTCTCGCAGTCGTGTATACGATGTAATTGCTGACCTTAGTAAGGCTATTCTAAGTAGAAGAATAAGGAGCTGTAACCTGCAGTACAATGCCCTAATTACGGGCCTAGCTTAATAGCTGATTTCCGCTGTATTCACCCCCTCTATCGAGGCGGTAGATTGGGATCGAATAGCTAGTCTATGTACGGACATATATACGATAGTCCTTAATAGCTACTATAGCCCCTAACTTAAGCGTGCTAGCATATTCGTGTCGATAGCCTAACTTGGCGCATATAAACAGTGTGAAATAGCGCTCCTATAATAGACTAGGATTAGTAATAGTAACTACATCTACATAGACAATGTAATAGATCGTAGATAGTCGTACGCGTAGCAGCCGATTGTATTCCTTGTATAACATAGCTATGCGATAGGCAATACAGTTGCGGAAGTCCTTCTTAGTACTAGTAATAACAATTTGACCCTCAGATTCCATCCTTAGTAGCTTGCGGTAATAAATATAGCTATATCGCAGATGCTATTTATCTATAGTGCCTGTAGGCACCCCCTTCTTAGGCACCCCCTTCTTTAATATAAGGGCAACTACCTTACTATCTAGACTAGAGGTTGGTATATAGAGGTAGGGAAGACTATTCTTACGGTATGTCTAAGCAATAGTAACTTCCGAGCCGTTAATAATAGTAAACAGCACGCGCTTGTTATTCCGATAGAAACAGCCCTTATCGGCAAGCTTCTTAGTAGACAGGAGGTTAGCTACTAGACCTAGCATATATAGTGTATCGGACAACTTTATGTTGCTTACACTACGCTTATTAACAACCTCAGTCTAAGCTATACCAACTATCGTAGCGTGCTTCGTGTTGCTACTAAACCGGACAGGAATGTAACAGCCTTTATATTTAATAAGTAATAAAGGGTCGTTAACTATATATATGCTAGTACCTAAGTCGACAACCTAATTAGTAGTACGAGTGCTAGCAGTAAGAGCCGTAGAAACCTAGTCGCTAATAGTAACTATAGTGTTTATAGTAAAGGCGTAATTGTGGTTTAGGTCTAATAACACCCCCGGGGTAGCATTAGCCGTATATAGGCCCTAAGTACTATTCTAACTAGATAGTAGTTGCTATTGCTACTAAGCAGTTAACGCCTGTTATTGCTTCTTCTTAGCCTTCTGCTTCTCGCGACGAAGACGGTCTTCTTCCTTTAGGTAAGGGTATTTAGTATAGCACCGATCGGATAGGTAAGCGCCTTAGCAGTATAAGCACTTCTTACGATTCTAACTATTCTAGTTGTTTCCACTACGACTACGACTATTGTTGTTTCCGCGGCTACTACGACCGCTACGGTTCGAGTTACCTCGACCGTTGTTATTGCTATTACTACCTTATTGTTGTAGTTAGCGCTAAAGGCCAAAGAAGCCGTTGTATTAGGCCTAGTTCAATTAAGCTACATTCTTATTAAGTAACGCGCTAATAATGTTGTTAAGGGTACTGTTATTAATAGTGTATTCCGAGGCGCGCATTTGCTTACGGCGCATCTATACGAAAGCCTCGTAGAATAGAGAGATCTATATAATAAACATATAGACAGCCTAGTATTAGCTAATAGCTAATTTAGTATCCTTTAAGGCACTAAGCTTCTTCTTGTACTTATTATAGAACTTCTTAATGTCCTTGCTATTATACCGAAGGGTAATATATTCCTAGTAGAGCATGAATTTAGTAGACCTACCTTTACTAGTATATTTCTTCTTAAGGAAGTCCTATACTTCCTAGGATGTAGATAGACTAAGCAGTAATTGTTAAATATTACTAATATAATTAGCAAAGATCTAGGTACGCGCTGTTTGATCTTTAGAGTCCTATTTATCTTAGCGGTCTTTAAACTCTTTAGAAGACTTACTAGAGGCCTTAGAAAGGGGTCGCTAGCGGGTGCCTTATATATAGCGCTATACCGACATACCTTTAAGAGCGCCTTTAGCGGCGTAGGCCTATACTAGATAATTCTCCTTGTTCTTTAGCTTAGGGATGTTGCTTATATAAGCGTTAGTAGTTGTAGGGGGAGCTATTACGGACAGCGACGGCGATATAGAAAGAGACTATAGACTTGTCTTAAGAGGCCGCCGATAGGCGCGCCTTTATTGTATTAGTATAGCGGATAGCCGACACTATTATTAGGAACTAGTATAGCGGACAGCTAACACGGATAGTAACCGACTCGAGTCGGACTAGCACCTGCTAGAACACTTAAGGGCGGCGAGGATAGCGGCGACGATAATAGTATCGGCGCAATTTTTAGTAACGAGCGCTATCTACGTAGCAGTCGGATTAACTATTAGAATACGTATAGAATGCGTTAGAAACGTAGGGGGCTTATAACTACTTGATGTAACTGATGTAATTAGGAAGAAGGACTAATCTATCTGGAAGTCCGAAGATAAAGTGCAGCAGTTGCAGCCTCAGGCATCAGGCACGTGATGGACCCTGACACCTGGACACACACTCCAAGTGGATCCAATCCACCGACACTCGACAACGGCCGGTGGCCTTTGGGGCTTGAGCTGATCACCAAAGCTTTCCGTGCAGCCAGTGAGCAGCGATTGCTCCGACTGATGCTCGAAATTGTCGAAAAGACAGGGCCCACTTTCGAGCAAAAGCTGCTAGGGTTTCGTGGCATCGATACCGTGGATCCAGTGAACACCGAGGCTGTTCTTAGCAAGCAGTTCACCGGTCAGTCCTATCTCTGATCCTATGGTAGCATAGTGATCTGAGTTGCACACAGACTTCGGGCTCGGCGAACGTCGACTTGTGTTTGCGCCGCTGCTCGGCGATGGCATCTTTACTCAAGATGGCAAGTTCTGGGAAAAGTCTCGAGCTCTCTTGCCGGACTTTCGCCTTTGTCGAGCTGGGTGGTTCTGGTGTAGAGTGATACAGGTGAAGAGGTGGTCGAAGGATGCAGACATGCTAGATACCGGTATACTCAAGAGCTAGAGATTGAAATATAGTGTAGATTTGGTTGTGGTTGATCGGTGAGTTTGTATAGGAGTATAGGCTTTGGGTACAGATGTCGATGAGAGTTTTGAAGGCTTTCCTCGTGCGTTTGCTGCGTTGAAAGAGGCACCTGAGTGGGTCCATGTGGTTGCTAGCTTGTTTCAGAGTTGAGTCGAGCGTTGGGGAAGCTAACACATCATTCTCGCACAATCGAGAAGTAGGTCTCGGTTCTTTATGTATCTCTGTGGTAACTTCGCAGCATCACTATGCAAGCCATCGATCGAAAGATGGTCGCTGCAAAGACACTTTCAAATAGTAAGTAACCTCCCCCATCCCATATTCTGACAATGTAAAAAGCAAATCCTATCCCACTAACGCCCGTGCACATATACACGTATAAGAGATCGCTCGGTATCCATATCAAATCAATCAAAATCGCACCGATTTCTTACTCAACCACGGCATCCTCCTGCCCGCTCTCCTGGATCCACTTCAATTCCTGCTCTCGTGGCTTCCTATTGGGCGCGATTGCGTCGAACACCGCCATGCCGATATCCTCTCGTAGTCGGAGATGCTGCCGAAGACGTTGGTCAAGTGCTTGAGCCTGACTGTGGGCAATAGCGGCCATTCGCATCCACTCATCGCGAGCAGTGAGAAGGTGGACCTCAGTCTTCTGGAAGGCGGACGCTTGCATACCGTAAGGCGTCAAGTTGCCCCAAGACTGTTCGCTGCGAAAGGTGGGAGCGGCCGGGAGAGCCTGAGCATGAGTCTGACTTGGATAGCGTGGTGCCAGTCGTGGAGTCGGGTGATTGGACGCTCCGAGTGTCACGGTCCCTCGCCGCTCAGAATGCTGCTGGAAGTGAAGAGGCTCAGTCGGACTAACCGCACGCTCGGTCTTCTGCTGAAGCGGGAATTCCTCGGTATGGTTCGGGAACATAGTGCTCATCGTCTTGTTGCTCAATTTCAGCTTCTTCGCAGCCTCGAAATCACCCTGGTTCGCTCTGACTTTCAACTTGTGTGCACGTCGCTTGGAAGCTTCTCGGCCATTTTCCTTCCGCTGTTCGATTCGAGCGAGCAGATTCTCATCATCGATAGGTGTGTCCATCGCCGTCGGAACGCCGCGTCGCAACTTGTCCTGGTTGAAGAGAACGGTCATGCGCTCGACACTCCAGCCAAGCTTGAGAGCTGCTTCGATGCTGCCACCTTCAGCTTGAGCCCGCAGGTCGCGGATATGCTTCGTGCTATTCTCGCCGAGTGAGCGACCTTTGCGACTTCTTGGTGGCGCAACCGGCGCCGGGGCCATAGACTCGCGATTATCATCGATGTCGATTGGATCTTCTTTCGACCCTGTGTTGACGGATGGTGTAAGGCTTGGATGTCTCTCTTCACGAAAAGAGTGTTGTGCCGTTGGAGGCGAGGAGTGTGGTGACTGCTTGATAAAAAGTGCTGACGATCCTGATCCGTGGTCTTCGTGGTCTGGCGTTACTTCTGGTGTGTTCCGGGATGGTGTTGCTGGATCACTGAACTGCTCCACCTTGTATTGAGGCGCATTGCTACTGGGAATCATGGCAGCAAGATCAGCCGCCACCTGAGTTGGTCTGGCTCCGCGACAAGGCATGTCTGCGTGGTCGGAGCGCTCTGGAGGAATGTAAAAGCCTTGCTGGTATGTGGTCGCGAAGACGTCTTGTCCATTGATGGCTTCTTGGAAGGCGTCCATCTTGATGGTAGATATGGTGGTGCGACGTGTTGGTGGCGTGACTATGTGGTCATGCAGTATGGTGGTGGGTAAGCGTGATGGTGGACGAGTGGTCGCAAACAAAGCGACTGCGTGGCCTGAAGTACTAATAGCCGTATGTGATGCATGTGCCACCGAAGTGACGAGGAAGTGTCGGCCTCACTTGAATGCGCAAAGTGGACACCGCGACCATTGACTGAGAAGGCAGGATGTGATTTTGTGCAGGAGCTATTGTTCCGTTGCTGACCAGCGACTGCTTCACAATATATGCGAAAGCAACAATGAGACGACGCCAATGGATGGCGGATAAGGAGTGTAATATCTGTACAATATGAATAGTAGGTCATGTCTCATCTATTATTGACACATTTACGCTATGCAAAGGATCGCAGTCGGGGTATCGTGTAGGTAAAAATATCAATCTCGTTCCATCGTCGCTCTTACACATTCTGTTCGCCTTCCTCCTCATCAGTATCGATCAGTCGGCCAGTCGCATTGCCAGAACCAACTGGAGTATGGTCTGGCTTGAGTCCAGCTATCCAAACACCGTGAAGTGGAGCTACCAGACTGGGATTGATGAACGGTAGGTTTCTCTCCCTCGCTGTGCCTTGTTCATTGTGGCTGCCTGTAGCTCTCGCGAGCTCGTCTCCTATCAGGCCGTCGGCAGTAACACCTGCTCGTGTTCCTGCCCAGATGCTCGTCTCTGGGGCTAGATTCGTGCTGTTCAGGCTTTGGGCGTCCCAAGGCGTCTGGTGGTCTTGATACGTCTCGCCGCGCTTGACAGCAGAAAGCGCGATGAACTTCATTAGCGGCTTGTAAGTCTTGCCGTAGACAATCATTGTCCAAATGGTCGCGACTGTGAGTGGAACCATCATCACTGACCGGGCAAACGCCTGCTTTAGAATGAGCTGACCCGCAGTCGTGATCTGGAAGAAGATCATGCCGATGAAGATGCGGTCGCAGATCATGCCCCAGCTTCTGCCAGATGTCTGCTGACGGTGATCCATTGCGTAAAGCAGCTGGTATTTGTAGCAAAAATGCCCAAGGCTGAAGTATAATAAGCCCGCAAGGAGAACCTGCCAGCTGTTTCGGAGAACAGAGTAGACCAGGCAAATGATGAAGATCAGAAGAGCATTCGGGAGGTAGAAGCCATACGAGAATACCGGAGGCTGAACAAGTTCCGCATAATCGCGAGGCGTTTTGGCACCAAGCAGCATGATTGGATAGAGTGAAACCGAGCCAACTTCGAGAAGACGGAATGGAAACAAGCCGACTCCTTGGAGGATGATGAAGTTGACGTAGAATCCGAGGAGCTTGCTGAGAGATAGAGCCAAAGTCCAAGCAACTTTCTGGATATCGCGAATGGCATCACCAAACTTGGTGAAGATGGCGTAGAACTTGGATGCTGTGCCGAGGATTGTAAGCACAACGAAGAAGTTGAAGAAGGCGAAGAAGAAATTTTTCGAAATCGCCGACAGTTCGATATCACCACGCGAGATCTGGCCTTGGTACCATGAAAGCCAGTAGTACAGGTAGGGCACGAGGACGATCAGCAATGAAGAGATCAGGGTCGGCAATTGTGTGCTGATCAAGGAGCGGATATTCTTATGATCCTCCAGCACATCCGCAAGACCAGGAAAGACTTTGCCAATCGTTTCCACGTTCAGTACTGCGGCGACTGGAACTAGTATCGCAGACCAGAAGACCGTGAGAAACACAATGATCGTGGTTATCGTCCAATTGCGGATCACTCGATTTCTCCTCGACAGGTAAGTGTTCTCCCATATCACATCTGCAGGTTCAGGGCTCTGGTTGGCAATCAGCTGTAGTGGCGAGGGATCCAGGACTGCTTGGATCGCCATTTGACAAGCTGCGACCGAGTCCATGGTGACGAAGGCCAGCGGGGTCGGCTGGAATTCTTTCGCACGCAGCTCTCGTATTTGCTCATTCGCTTGTCGTAGCAGCTCCTCGTAATAGTCAATCGCATCCACTTTTTTACTCTTCAGCTTCAACCATCCATACCTGATTGTAGCCATGGGTCTTGCCTTGGCATACGGACGAATGAGATCGCCGTCACCTCCAAGCAAGTTATCAGCCTGCGACGCCTCTTCACTGCTGGCCACTCCATTCGGCTCGGGGGGCGAAGGCTGAGCAATTGGCAAAGTCTCTCTATTCCTCTCGATCCGCCGGTGTCCCATGTGAACGGTATACGCCTCTTCCAACCTCCGCAAAATGTCCATTCTGCGATTTGTCGCCTTGTCCAACTCTTTCCAGTTTCGACAAAGCACCACCCGTTCGACTTTGCCAATATCCAGGCTCTCGATGAACTCCTTGATCTTGTCTTCATCTTGCAGATCTTTCGGGATTCCGGAAAGGCGTATCGTCCGATCCGTTACCGTTGTCTGTGTACCCAGAAACTCCTGCCGTACCTCGATGATTCGCCTTGTCTCGGAAATCATGAGGTATATCAAGATCGCTGAGAACAGATACGCGAACACGACGTACATCCAGAGGTAGTCTGTTTCCAGGTTCTCGGGGAAGAATGGCACGTATGGTTTTGTGCCGTTACCCTCCATCCAGCTCTTCTGCACCATCTTGACGGACCTCTTCAGGCCGATTCGAACAATCTTCCCAGCCATATCTGTATCTGTACCATTTTTCTTGTGGTGCTTATCATCATCGTCGTCATCGTCATCGTCGTCGTCTGGATATGCATCATGGACTGGTTTGATCACAACTAGCGAGAACAGGAGTGTCGTCAAGAGGAACTTCATTGCCATCTTGAAGAATGCCAGGAAGACATACGCATCCAAACCAGCACTCGCAAGAACCTGCTGGTCTGTGATCCTCCATAGTGGTAAGATCCATCCGAACAAAGTGCTCGGCAGCTCAGGGAGTGCTGTCGCTTCGCCTTTTTGTCTTTTCCTCGCAGCATACAATCCCGCCCATCTCGGTCGCAGTACGCAAAAAGCTAGAAATGCAGTGACTCCGAGCGTTACTGATATTGCAATCTGGATAGTCGTGTCGCGCGGATCGGACGAGCCCACCAGCTTTCCATAATCTGGCTGTCCATCATCGTCGTCGTCCTTCCCAAACGTCACGAAGTCGTCCATCGTGAATGCATAGGGAATAGTAGTGGTATGGTTCGATGCGCGTGGTGTTGATGGGAAGACGCGATGTTTGCGAAACCGCCGGACGATCTGAACGCTGGTTTGCAGAAGCGATCCCTGCCCTGCGTGATGATGTCGCCAGAGTGGGTTGAGAATTTTGGCGGTTATGCTCCGCCGTAGACTTCCATTACCAGCGGAGCGGAGCGCCACGCCACCACCGCCACCACCGCCGGCACCTCCTTTCTTTTCCTTGAAACGCACTGGCACTGCGACAATGTGGGTCAACTACTGCACGGCCACGGCTCGATTCGCGGGCGGATAGTGGTAGATTGGTGGGAGGATGGACGGGCTAGAAAGCACAGTGTTGCAGCTCCTTCTTCTCTCCTTTGTTATCATCAAAACACCAGTTCGCCAGGAATGCTCGCTGGCAGTAGTCGCAAGACTCTGTGCATCATCGTGGCACTGCTGAATTTGGCCGGGTTGTACTATCTGCAGGCACCAGCGAAGCGTTTCCTGAGTCAATGGTCAGGCACAGCGACTGGCTATATCCATGACATTGCAGCTGATCCGCCACCTCCAGATGCACCGTATGGAGCTGTAGTGGCGGCAGGGAGCTCAGGCATTGATCTATCATGGATGAGGCAGACACAATTCCAAGCAGAGTGAGGCCGAACGTGATCGATTCTTGATCCAATGCTGACATGGCGCAGCTGGACTACGTATCCATATGATGTTGACAAGCCGAATCAACTCGACGAAAGACTGCGCATACCTTTGAACAAGGGTCATGAGGCCATGCCTTACCTCTCCTGGCTGATCGACAGCTATGACGACCTTCCATGGATGGCAGTGTTCGTTCACGGCCACTTCACGTCCTGGCATCAGTCAGACACCATTACCAACCTTATCAGGACTCTCAATCGAACATCGTTAGCACATGTCGGCTACATTCCTCTGCGGTGTGACTGGTATCCGTCTTGCAGCAAAGAGATACGCCCACAGCACCATGATGCTGTCTTTTGGGGTCCTGGGGTCAGGCGGAAGGAAACCGAGTTTGCCATTGCTGGGAACTGGAGGCAACTTTTCCCGGGCGAGAAATTGCCAGAGACTATCAGTAGCGTATGCTGTGCACAGTTTGCCGTGACCCGGGCAGCCATTAAACGAAGACCCAAGAACGACTATGTCCGGATGCGAGAATGGCTGGTCAACACTCTTCTGACAGACGATGTGAGCGGTAGAGTCTTGGAAAAGCTCTGGGGCTATATCTTCACGGGTGAAGCAGTCCACTGTCCTCCACCGCAGCAGTGCGCATGCGAGTATTTTGGACAATGCGAGAAGCATGAATGGGCGCAACCCCCGGAACACAGTGAGATGAGGATACCTGATTGGCCTTGAGAATCTATCTTGAGTGCATACACAATAGTGGTGTACTTGGGGCTCCGCATCGGACGGCATTTTGGACGATGGACGATGACTTTGAAATCATAGACTCACAGAGGTTGGAAAGAGGACAATAAACTTAGCTGGGCAAGGACGACTTGAGGAAGGCACAACGCGTCCCAGGCTGCCGACCCACCCCAATTTCGACATCGCCACTCTTCTTCTCAACTGCACCTCATCTGACTGCATTTCTGCATTCCAAGCTTGGCTCACTTTTATAATCCTGAATACTGCCGGACACGCACCAGACAGCAGCGACACCAAGCATGGCCCGCCCGATGATGCTCACACCAACGCTTCACGTCGAGGTGCTGCTCAATTGCAAAGCATCTGCGAATGTGTCTCTCCTCCAGAAGCAGATCTGCAATGAGGTTGCTGAAAGCTTTCGGGGCAACTATGCTTCGGTCCAAGTGGGAACCAGGATTCAGCACTATGATTACATCAAAACTGCCAAATACATCGAAGCCGTAGACGTGGTGGATTACACCGGGCCAACAGTGCCCGTCGGCTTCTACAAGCTCGAAGACGTTGAGCTCGATGTGAGTGTATACGCAAAGCACGAGACTCCTGGCCTGCTCGCTGCGAATGGCTAACAGCTTTCAGGTTGTAGCGTACGCTCTCAAGAGTGACGAAGAAGCTCGACCGCGTCGACATATCAGTCAAAATGGAGACACAGATGACATTCCGCAGGCTCGTGTCTTATCACTCCCAAATGTCGCGTTAAGGGATGACTGGGACTCGCTGATTTACGACGACGCACTGCCATCTCAACTGCTGAGATATCTCACACGCATGCTTGGCGTGATGAAACAGCCTGGACTGAACCTCAGCACATTCAACTGGAACCGTCTTTGCCTCCTCCACGGACCACCCGGCAGCGGTAAGAGCACGCTCTGTCGCGCACTAGCACAGAAACTCAGCATTCGTCTCTCGGAATTCTTCCCACAAGCCGTGCTCGTCGAAATCAACACCAACGCCATGCTCAGCAAATATTTCGGCGAAAGCGGCAAACTCATCGGCTCCATGTTCGAAAAGATCCATTCCATGGCGCAATCACCTACAACACTGGTATGCGTAGTCATGGACGAAGTCGAAACTATCGCCTCGTCCCGGGAAAAGGCATCTTTGGCAGGCGAGTGCGGCGATGGTGTTCGCGCTACGAATCAACTCCTCACAGCACTCGATCGACTTCGAACTCTGCCAAATCTCATCGTCCTGTGCACCTCCAATTTGCTTGCCTCCATCGACCCGGCTTTCCTTGATAGAGTCGATATCAAGCAGCTCATCCCATCTCCCTCGCCGGCAGCGATTTACAACATTTTCCGCTCATGTCTCAACGAGCTTATTCGTGCCAGTCTCGTCCATGCCGCTGCTGAGTCGTCTCCTGCGAAGTCTGCAACCGAAGAAGATGCGGGAAATGGCTCAGATACCGAAGAGTCAGATGCGCTGGCGACGGTATGTGAAGCCTACCGCATACTTTCCTTCTCTACTACGCCATCACTTCGGAACCATTCATTCACGAATATCGAAAACTGATACATACTCTTCTTCTTTCTAGTTCACCTTCATCCTCCCACCTCCAATCCCGACTCTTGCAGAAATGCATATTCGCTTTTACACTCAAACCTCCTCTCCTGCTCGTCGTGTCTGGGATCTAGCTAACAAGTGCGAGGGTCTGAGTGGTCGGACTCTTCGCCGGCTTCCGATTCTGGGGCTCGCGATGTATACCTGGGGTGGAAATTGTTCGATTGACGAGGCTGTGAGTGCGCTGGAGGCTAGTGTTGAGCAGGAATTGCTTGTGAAGAAGAAGTAGCTAGTGCTGTGTGCTCGGTTCTGAATTGCTGTTTCTCCCCCAAGTCGCTCGCTTGGCTGCTGTTCAAGTCAGCGTCTTCATTGCAGACAACTTATTCCTGAGAGCGACCACTAGATATCAAACTTTTGGTATCTTTTATTCCACATCTTTTTATTATTTCCATGTCCTTTTCCAGGCCTTCCATGTCTTCACCCCCCTCGTCCTACCTCCCTCTCCAACCCTGTCCTGTATTTACTCAACACCCCTACTCCTACTCTTATTCCTACTCCAAAAACCTCCCCTCCACCCACCCCCTCCTCTTAACCCCCAACTCCACCGCCGCGGCGCCCCAATCCTCCCCATGATTATGTCCCTGTTGCGCCTCATCGATCCCCGCCCTCTCCAACCCTTGCTCTTCGGTCAAAAGCGTCAACAACCCAAAAACAACCGGAACCCCCAAATCCAATTGTACCCGCATGAGTCCGTGACTCACGGCATCCGAAATGTATTCGAAATGCATGGTGGAACCTTTGATCAATGCTCCGATGGCTATGATTGCGTCGAAAGGTTGGTTTGAGGAAGCGGAAGCGGGTTTTTGTGCTTGTTTGGTGGGGAGAGAAGTTAGGTCGGTGGTTGAAGAGGAGAGGAGGTCGGTTGCGGAGGCCAAGAGGCCGGTTGTGCTGGATTGGGATTGGGAGGCTGTGTACCTGTTGGCGAAAACTTAGCGCGAGCGGTCGTGCAAAGTGAAGGATTCCTTACATCCTCTGGACTGCGTACGGAAGCTCGTAAGACCCCGGCACCGATTGAATCACGATGTTTTCCTCTTTTACGCCGGAGGATTTTAGGGATTTTACGGTTCCTTGTACTAAGGCGTCGATGATTTTCGTGTTCCAGCGTGCGTGGATGATGCCGATGCGGAGGGGTGAGCCGTCGTAGGTTTTTGCTTCCCCGGGGCCTTTGAGGGTCGCCATGATGCTGTTTGATGTGTCGTGGGATTTGAAATGCGGTGGTTGCTATGTTTGTTGGGAGGATGTTGTGTTGTGGTGTTTTGGTAGAGAGAGGTAATAAGGTAAGCTGTGCTGTCACGCTTCTGCAGGTCAATGGGACGGAGCTGGAGGGGATCGGTGGGGCAATGACGAGAGAAAGCTTGGCGAAAGTTAAATGAAATTGGCATGTGATGGGACTAGGATTTGGACTTGTGCGCGGTCCGAGTATCATCGACATGTCTTTAGTATATATACATTATCGTGTCGTCTATGCTACAATGCCCTCAAATGCATTCATAGCCTACGATGACAGCGTGATCAGCATGATGAAGTGTTCAGCCTCACTCACGACTACTCGCTGTCGTCTTCGGATTCTTCGCTTCCATCGATCTCAGCGCCTGCCATATCATCCGTCGCTTCCTCAACGGCAGAGTGCTGACCATCGAGCAAGAAAGCGCCTAGACAAGTGATACGATTTCCCGCCTCCTTGGTTGCCAGCAACTTTGCAACTTGTATGGGAGTTGCAGGCTTTGGGTCTTTCAGCAGATCCCCTGCCCAGCCATGAGGAAGACTCCATAGTCGAATTGCACCATCGCTACTCGCTGTCACAACGAGCCTGTGCCCCAAAGGAGACCCATTTTCCGCCAGCTCAACCACCTCAAAGTCCTTGATTCGGCCTTGCACTCCAGCTGCTTGACCTCCAATCTGTGCATCAGGCTGCAATCGTCGTAGTTTCTTGACATCTGAGGCTTCAGCAATGTGGGTTAGATCATAAAGAAGTATGCGACCGTCCTCGGTTGAGATTGCCAGTATGCTATCTTCATCTCGTTCGGGTGGCATGAATCTCATCTGATGGATCTTCGTGCCAGGTTGGATTACTGCTTTCGGTTTGCAGTCAATGCCAAAGACAGCCGCACCTCTCTCGAACGCGACCACGTAGTTCTCGCCAGCCTGATCCCAGGTCACACGCCGTCCTTCGCCGCTACTGAACTTGCTCTCGCCCACTTGAGACAGTAGTTCCCGCTCAAAGTTTAGTGCTTGCGCCTTCTTTCCTGTCATCAGATTCCACAGTCGTATGCACTTCTCGCCACGACCGACGGTAAGCATCAGCTTTTGTGAAGGATGAATGGCAAAGTCGTTGACACCGGCTGGTATCTCGCCAGGGCCTGCAGTATCTCCGGATGGGCGTCCGTGGGGCTTTGGGATGGGTGCTTTGAGGGATGTAAGTACAGTCCAGTCACGAGTCCTTGATATACAGATCGTAGCATCCTCGGCTGCGCTGAAGAGTCGGTTCTTGTCGAGGAAATGAAGCCTGGTAATTGCACGGTCATGATGTAGCAGGCTTCCGAGAGATTTGTTCCGAGGATTCTCTGCAGTGGCCGCACCAGACAGCGAAGGCCAATTCGGCTTGGAAGCGGGTTTGGGTGGTGGCGCCGTCGACAAGCTGTAGACATTGATGCGCTCGTCCGAGGAGCCAGTTGCTAAGAAGCGCTTATCTGCCTCCTTGCCGGCAGGAGAAATGGCCAGACAGCGGATCGCTGAAGCATGTGCGGCGAACAGGAATGTGTCGTGAAACTCGACGGTCTCGTCATCGTTTGTGCCACTATGCGGTCGTTAGTCATTGCCCGAGAAAGCAGCATACTGCCACATACTGGAAGGCGGAAGGCGGGATGGTTGCTGCAATGCCGTGTAGGGTCCTCTCATAGCTGCCTGTGACGATGTGGAGGTGTATGGGAGCAGAGCTGCCGTGTCCGTTGGCTTGGGAAGACTTTGGGGGCTCGACGGCCTGCTTTTTGACGGGCTTGGCGCTGGCGGCCACGTCGATGCGCTTTCTCTTGACTCCGTTCGCAGTCGCCATACCATCGATATACGGTCAGCTCTTCTTTCTCGCTGTGCTGTGCAAACGACGTGAAAATTTGATGCTTTCGAGCGTTCTGAAGGTTGCGGCAGAACGGGTGACTGGCGAGCTTGCAGCCAACGGAGAGGCCTGCTGGGGCGAGTGGGCAGCGGGCAGCGTGATTGGCGGCCGCTTGGAATCTCTCCAGAACCCCCAAGCCAAGCGCAGCAGACTGCAGCACATCCGCAACCGCACGACGCAGCGACGAGGGCGACGACGGGCTACACAACGGCCGACGTGATTCGCAAAACTCCGCCGCAACATTCTTCGCACACGCACGCTTGCAGCGCGTCGCCGTCGTCTGTTGTTCTTCATTGAATAGCAGATGCGGCGCCCTTCTTCGCGACAAGTTCATGTCCCTTCTCGACAGCCGACGCCTGATCGAGACCGAGAAAAGGCGGCATGAGTTGGTGAGTGGCCCTTTGCTGCAATACTCTCCATATTCACACACGGCCATCTTACGCCTATCCTCCATCGACTGTCCAATTCTCACGATGCTATCGCGAGAAATGCGTGTGTTCTGATGCTTCGAACAGCTCTCCCTCGCCGACGCACATCGTCGCAATCTGCGCGCCCTCTACAACGTCACCGCGCTCGGTCAAGGCCGCGGTCGCGTCGGATGCACGTCCGCTTCGAAGATTAGCGTGGCAAGCAGAAGGTGAAGGAGATCAACATACGTGGACAAGTGGTATTTTTGTAAGAATTCCGCTTCATCTCCCGTTGGCTCGTGGTCTAAGTCAAAAGGCGGAGTGAGAAGTGACGCGACCGCGGCCTTGACCTTTCGACCCGCATCATCAACATCGACACAACAACACGACAATAGCGCGTCCATATCTACCGAGAAACCCAATAGTGTACCTGCAGAATCATCTCGACCTGCGGCGGATGTCGAAAGTGCTTCTGCGACGCCGACACCATGCATTGTGACCGCGAAGCCTGACCATCCGACTTCTGCTGACCCTGTCACCGTTTCTACTTCGGAAACCCCTGCATCTGGCCCACCAAATGTTATTCCTGATGCATCTGCTTCGCTTCCTGCTTCTCGCAAGGCCTCTGCTCAACCAGAAGACGTGTCGCCAGCCAACGCAGCACTTCCACAGCCTGAGGAAGAAGCGCGCTTGTCTGAGACTGCCGAGCAACTTGTCGACCAGCAAGAGCCCTCTACTCCAGCTAAAGTTGTTCCCCTGCCGTCGGAGGAAGTCCAAGAAGAGAGGTTGCGCGAACGAGAAGCGGAGGAAGTGCGACGTAGCTCTGAACCGGAGATCAAGTCTGGTCAACGTCTAGTCGCGCCTCAACCCGATATCGCATCTTCCCCTTCGTCTACCGTTGGGGCGTACTCAGCTGCGACTCCACAGCCTCCGCAGGATAGTCCCGACACGTCGCCCGACTCGGAAACTGCGCAAGTTGAAGTTCTGCCTCCCAAGGACCTCCAGCCATCTCCGCAGCAGCAGCGCGAGAAGGAGGAGCACGATCGCATATTGGAAGCCCAGAAAGAGATTGCACGAAAGCAAGCGCTTGGGGATGTCGCGACGCCAGACGAGCAGCTCAAATGGGAGGAACGCGAGGCAGCAGCTCGAGAAGCAGAAGAGCGCGCAGCTCGGGAGAGTGTAGGCGGCCCTGAGCCTACTTCGAAGCTCGCAAGAGATTCCACCGAGGCTGAGCAAGCAGTTGAACAGATCGAGGCTGAGAGTAATGTCGTCGACACTGCTGAGACAAAGCCCGACGAAGAGTTGCCCGATGCGAGGCCCGCACCGCCAATTAAACCTGAGAGTGATACCGACAATAGCATTGTCACGTCTACTGTGAGGGCACTACCTTCAGAAGTTGACAAGAAGCAGGCAGCACCCGCCGCGCTCACGGAGAAGCAGTCTTCGCCAGCTGCGCCTCGGCCTCCACGGATGACGACTCGAGTCTCGTCTGGTGCCATGCGACAAAAATCGGTCTCGGAAATACTTGGACAGGACCGCGACAGATCACACTCTACTGAAAATGGCTCTCAAGCGCGGAAGGATGCCATTCTCTCGCCAGAAGCCGTGTCTCCCATGACGCTACGGCATCCGCAAGATGCTGCCAGTACTCGCGTCAGAGCACCGCTCGCCACGCAGACTTCACATCAGCCGCGCCTTCTCAATCACTTCCGACAACCAAGTCAAGTTGACTCTGCTATGGCACAACTAGAATCCCTCAAAGGCGCAGCAGAAGATCCTGATCGCGACTATCTCGAGCCGCTCTTCAGGATCCAAGCTCATGAGTCGCCCAACTCCAAAACGAAAACTCTTCCCGACCTCATCAGAAATGGATCCAAGGCACTTTCGACGGAAGACCACTTCACTTCTCTGCATGAACGGCTGGACTTTCGAATGCTCCGACGCATATATCAGCTACAAAACGCCAACAAGTGGTCGCTTCGTCAGATGGAAAAGGCAAAGGAGCCTGAGCAGCCTTTCACACATCATGATCACATGATGGAAGAAATGAAATGGATGCGCAAAGATTTCAGAGCTGAGCGAAAGATGAAGAAGAGCGTGTGTGCATGGCTGGCGCAAAGATGTGCAGATTACTATCACGCAAGTGCCGCAGAGAAGCAAAAATTACGAGTCAAGGTAAAGGCCGAGGATGCGAACGCTGGTAATGGAACACCAGACCTCGAGAACGCCGGTGACTCAGCATCTGAGGATGATGTCAGTCCACGAACGCCTCGCTCACAATCGCCAATACCGATCACTCTCGTCGTGCCGCCCGAGCTTACTGGTGTCGTGGAGGATCTGCAACGGAGTGGTAAGCTTTCCAAAGCCGTAGATGCACTTCCGAAGACTGGCTTTCTCGAGCCTTCGCGCCAGCACAGGGTACAGCCCGAGACGCCAGTTTCGAAGTTTGTTGAAGGCAAGATTCTGCCACGCGTGCGTGGTCCTTCCCGCAAGCGAAGTCGATACGAATACGAAGATGAGGCTGAAGTAGCGGCACATCACCCTCGCAGCAGCAAGCGATTATGTGAAGACCTGCCTCCAGAAGACCAAGAATGCGCGCTGTTCCATCCGGACAACAAGCACATTCGCGATCGACTGCATGCGAACAACGCTTTCAGACCTCCTTCAGAGTTCCTCATGCCGACAACTCACTTCTACGAGTTTAGAAACGGATCTCAGTGGATATGGGAAGACGATCAAAAGTTGCGCAGACTGGCCAAAGACTACTCGTTCAATTGGTCTCTTATTGCGGATGAGATGGCACTTCCGACGCGATATAAGAGCTCTGCCGAACGTCGCACGCCGTGGGAATGCTTTGAACGATGGGTCGAGCTGGAGTCATTGCCTGCCGACATGAAGAAGACGGTATACTTCAAGACGTGGTATCAACGGCTTGAGCAATCCCACCAGGCATCCGAGCGCCGATATCAAGCCCAGGTTCAAGCCATTCAAGCCCAAGCAGCGCAAAATGGTGGACCTTCGCATGTACCTATGCGTCGCAGGTCAATGCCTACACGTGTCGAGAAGCGACGATCGACGAGATACTTATGGATGGTCGAGGGCTTCAGGAAGCTGGCGAAGAAGAAGGAGCAGGCACAGTGGAAAGCAGCTGAAACCGCCCGCGCTGCAGCTCAACGAAAGTCACAAACCGAAAACACCCAGACACAACGCGTCAAGATGACACCTCAAGAGTTTAGCAAGAAGCGCCACGAACGAGACTTGCAAATTGCCGAAGCGCAAAGACAGCATCGCGCCAAGATCATTGAGGCTCAGCAACGGCAAATCCAGATGGCCCGGGCAGCTCAGGCTCAAGCACAGCAAGGTGGTCAGCCTGGTCCCAACGCAGCACCGGGACAACAACGACCTCCAGGTGCCAACATGCCCGCACAACAAGCACAAATGCAAGCGAACGGACAGCAAATGCCCAATCAAGCTGGAAAAGTCGCGGCTCAGCAGCAAATTCGACAACAAGCTCAAATCGCCACCAGGCATGGACTCTTGGCACCGCCAGTCAATGGTGCCAATATGCCTCAGCAAGCACAGATGCAAGCCGCAGCGGCACAAATGCGCAACCCAAGCATGCAACCCAGACAACAGCAGAGCAACCCACAAATGATGGCCGCTCCATACGCAGGCCAGTACCAGATGCCGAACGGAAGCATGCCCAGCCCGGGAAGCGGTTTGACGACTCAGCAGCACCTGCAAACCAATCAAGCTTTGCTGCAAGCCTTGCAGCAGCAGCAGCAGCAGCAGCAGCAGAACGGGATCAACAACCAGAATCTCGGCCAGCACACACAGATGATCGCCTCGCCCAGCATGCCACCCCCTCCAACGCCGCAAAGCAGTAACGGTCCACAGCAGCTTTCATCCGGTCACGTCCCGCAAATCTTACAGATCACGAGCCAACTCAGATCTTCACATCCAAATTTGTCGGAGGATCAACTGAAAATCTTGGCCAGTCAGCACTTGCAACAGCGTTCTGCTGCCGCTTCCCAGCAGGCCAGGCAGAATGCGACAGTTGCTGCTGCCGGTATAAATAGTCAGTCTATCAACACGTATCGCTAATGTGCTTTTGCTCACAAACATACAGCATACCAGAACAATCGACCGATGTCTAATGGCATGAATGGCACGTACAATCAAGTCAATATGAACGGCGATGGAAGTCAGCAGCAGAGTGCATCAAGCATGTCGCCCCAAGGACAGAACGCAAGTCCGAATCAGACGCAGCAGTACGCGCAAAGGATGAAAATGCAGCAAATGCAAATGATGCAACAGATGCAGATGCAAAGCCCGAACGCGGTGCACGCGCAGCTCAACGGCAGTCCTGGAGTGGCGCACGCAAGTCCGAACATGACGCCTGGGTCGCCTTCGATGCAGTACGCGAATATGCAGATGGCGGGCATGCAAAACATGAATGGGCAACGACCATCCTCTCGGTCAAACACACCGCAAATGCAGCGTATCAACTCAAATGGTAGTGGCATCGCTATGAGCAGCAATGGCATGCAGAGTCCGGGATCGATGGGACAGGTGCAAGGAAGTCCACGAAACGTGCAAGCGAGTATGGCGAGATAGAATTCGTCAAGCGGCGTCGGTGGTGGTGGTGGGCTATGGTTGCCACATTGACTGATGTCGACGGTGCGACTCACACCAGATGACAGCTCCAGATGAGCACGAGGAGCCGAGTAGCATAGATGACCTTCATGATCAGTATATATTATATACGAATCGGAGCGACGCTCGCCAAGTCCCTCAGGACTGGACTTATACACGTCCCCTTCCAAAATACGCTTGAGACATGCCCCGACGCTCTGAAGTCTACCTTGCAGACCAGCGATGATTATACGAACGTCCACTCTTCGTTCCGTTGCAGCCACAAGTCCCAGTCGAAGCAGAAGTCTTCTGGGAAGAAGTCGTCAAGTCTGTCAGCTACCATCGCTTCAGCACTGGCACTGGTGCTGGCCACGAACATTTCCAGAGAAGGAGCTGCTTTGCCCAGTGCACACCACTTTTGCCATTTGGCAAGCAGTCGATGCACACTTTTCAAGACCCGAGCAGTGCTGGCCCATAGGCATCCGAGCCGCATTACCTTCCATGATATCTTTGCAAATGGCTAAGATTCCACACACAACTTGGCGTGCAGGTGGGAGGTAAGGTACGCCCTGGATTTTCAGACCGTCGGCGGCAGCAAGGAAGTTTGCCAGCACAAGCTCTAGGTCATCTGTCCGGCTCTCACCGTGCTTCACTAGAAAGCGTCCTCGACAGACATATGGGGTCCGCGTACATCAAGAGCAAGAGCGCACAGTAGCGTGAGCAGAAGGATTTCCGAGAGGTTCTCGGGGCCGATCTCATTGCTTGCCAGTAATTTATCATGAAGGCTGGGAAGTCTTGGGATCTCAGGAAAATGCAACCTGTGCCAGACCAGCAACTGGTCGAGCCGATCAATCAGCTGTCTATCCAGCAAACTGGAGATGTTCTTTACGCCTCGATCTCGACTTGTCGGCAACGCTATTGCGATGTCCTTGTCCCTCAGTAGCAGCATTGAAAGGAGATACGGCACGCTTGTCATGGCACGTCCGCAGGAGCCAGACGACAATGGCCTTCTGATATGGGAGGACTATCATCTTTTGCCCTTGGCTTCACCAGGAGGTATTCACCAACGGCCCCAGAACCATCGTCAGATATGTTGTCTGGATCTCGACCTGAATCCCAAGGCGCCTCGTGCTTGCCTGCATTTCTGTTGGTGTGCATTGACATTCTCGGTCGTTTGCTCGGTCGTCCAAGGATCGTGTGGTCTACAACACAATCAAGTCCCTTCAGAACACATCTTTGGCAAGACAATGTGCCGGGAGTCGTTCTGCTCGCCAATACCCGCTCCCACATTTTCTGGCAGTCTGCATTTTATTGTACGCCTCCGACAATTCAAGCAAATGAACTTGGCGTAAGAGCCTCTTTGACAACTAGATGGCATCTGGAACTGTCGTGTCTGGTAGCCAAACGACGGAAGCGGGACTAATAAGTGTGGCTGCGCGAAGAGGAAAGAGGAAGACGCGGAACCACATTGCGCAGGTAGAACTGTTCGAAGGATGCGAACGCGAGGAGTTGGAGCTACTACAGTACAATATGCCAGAAGCAGCTTCGTTGGTTGACCAAGTGCTACAAAGAGGAGTGTGGTTGCACAACGGCCACTCTATCACATCTTTTTAAACACCTCCGCTCTCACAACTTTGCAAAATTTTACGATCGGATGATGAGATGCCTCGAGATGCTTCAATCTGTAGAGTTGAAGAGAAGTATATAAGCTGAAGCTTAACCTGCTTGTGCTCACTCACATACATCACATAGTCTTCGCTCTAATTTGATCCATCCTTCTCGAAAGTCGCGGGTTCGAAATCAGATCCTCTTCTGATTCTCCCTCACTGAAGCAGAAAGGAAAGTCTTATATAAGTAAAGACTTCGCAATCTTAACCGTGCTTATCTTACGTAGGCGTAGCCGCGTAGATTTTATTGTAGGTAAAGACTCCTAGTTCTACGTTCTAAAGCGCTCTAAAATAGAGCACGTCCTAGTAGTAAGTAGTTGTCGTTTTATTAGCCCTATATAGTAGTTTAATTACGAGGCTGATTTTATAGCTAATTATAGGCTATCCTTACTCGATACTTTTATTTCGATTTTATAATAGTTACGGGGAGGTCTAGCTTAGAAATTATAACTACTACCGACTCGATCTTAAGAGCTAAGCATACCGGCTATAATATACTCTTACTCGACTCTACTTTTATCTTAATGTTATAATAATAGCGGGAAGATCTAGCTTTAAAAATACAACTACTCCTAGACTCGGAATTATCTTATAGAAACGTAGATCTTAAGACTATTAAGTTACAAGATTATACTCTATTACTCTCTAAATCGTAGCGAGATTTAGCGAGTATTAGTTATTATATCGTTAGCCTAGTAAGGCTATTTTAGAATTAAGTAGAGCTAGGAGGTAATTATAGTTAAGCCTTACTTCGTAGTGTTACGGTTACTCGCGACAGATCGTTAGGTAACTTCTTATTACGTACAAGCCGAGGCTTCTTTAGAGAGGCTAATATAAGCGGGAGGTAGAGATAGAATAATTGGTATAAAGGTAATTCCAATTAGTAAGTAGGTAATATAAGTTAAACGCCTCGAGCTATAAGGGTATTCCGGCGTTCCTAAATATAAAGGAGACATCTTATCTGTAGTCGTAAGCGACGTAAGCGACGCTGTCGCTCTCGACCGCTCCTATCGCTCCTAGTAAGATAGAGCGACAGCTTAGCCTACTAGTCTTAGCGTCGCTCTAAGATTATATAAGGACTCTAACTAATTAGATCCGTAATACTATCCCCCTCCTTAAGCGGAATAGTCCCTTATTCCGGAACTTTCTAATTCTAACTTCTTTGTTATACTAAAGTTATCTAAGGATTTGTCTTCTCGCTAGCGTAAGGAAAATATCGCAAATAATATCCTCGCCGACTGCCTCGAAATACCGATCCGCTACTTTTATTGCGAATAGGCCGGTAAACCCTATAAAGTCGATCTTCGTTCCGGTCGCTACTCTAAGTACGCCCTATACGGCTAGTCCTATAATATACAAGTTACTCGTATAGAGTATAAAAAAATCCGGAAGGCGCGCCTAAAGATAGCTAAAGATCTCGAAGCGGCCGAAGAGGAGGAGGACCTCCTTACGCGGAAGCTTTTCGAGTACCGCGTAAAGGTCCGTCGCTTATATAAGTCGCTGCGTATAAAGGAGGATCGGGAGATACAAGCTCTTAAGGCAGAGGAAGCCTCTATTTAATAGGCGGAGGAGCTCGAAAGAGAGCTAGGCTCTTCGCCTATAGAGCCGATATTATTCTCGTTACCTACTAACGAGCCGTTTCCCCTAGATAACCGATTATAGATATCGCCTTATAACTAGAGTCGTCTAGATAGGACATCCTAGCCCGTCTCTAAAATCCCTAGTAGGAGTGCCGAGAGTCTAGTGTCCTAAAGGTATATATTTTTAATGTTTCCTATCTATTTTATCTTCTAGCTAGTTAGTCTAGTAGTATAATTCTTAGCTATAAAAGACATAGTTACTAGGTACGCTATTAGAGTCCCCGCTCCTCGAGCTATACTACCCTAGGTCGTTAAGAACTCTAAGGCGCTATAATCGATAGGGTCTAAGAGGTCGTAGGTTCAATTCCTATACTAGTTATTTCTTTTTTGTCCGGTTTTGATATTTTTTAATTATCTGCTAACAGTTCTATAGGTTTTCTTTTAGTTCCTAAGTGTTTTCTAAATGTAGGTATCCTTTCTATTTAATAAGGTATTTCTAACCTTGCTAGTCTAGGATTTTCTCGACTTTAAACTTATTTTCTTCCTTAGGTTAGAAGTGAAATATTTCTTAGTACGGTGTTTCGGCGTCTATAGGTTCTAGTATAGAGATATAGAATACTAGGTAGATTTTCGCATCGTCCGGTAGTTTAAGTCGGTAATTAACTAGTCCTTTAGGCTTATTAATCAAAAATGGCCCGACTTTAACGTAGTCTAGTTTCTTAGTCGATCTTAGGGTTTTTAGATTCTTTATTAGGAGGTAGACCTTATCCCCCTTTTTTAGCTAAGGTACTATTTTTCGTTTAGTATTATATAGTCCCGTAATCTTTTCTTAAGACTCGGCAATTGCCCTTTGCAATTCTTTATATACCTGCTTTAAGTCTTCTAAAGCGGCTATCGCTTTATCCGCGTATAGATGCTATAAATGCTATTCCCCGAACAGCTACAGATAATTCCTAAAATTAGCGAAGAATAGTGTCTCTTTCGTAGTCTTAGATTGTTAGTTGTTTAGTGCAAGTTGTACTATAGGCAATAGCGATACCTAATTATTTTGTACGTAATTGACGTAGTACCGTAAGTACACCTCTAAGGCCTAATTCTTAACTTCCGTTTAGCCGTCTGTCTATAGATAGTATGCCGTTAATAGCTTGTGCTTAATTCTAAGTGTCGCTATAAGCGTCTTCTAGTAGTTTAACGTAAAGAGCTTGTCTCTGTCCGTAATATAGGTCTTTAGAAATCCGTAGTATCGTACAAGTCTATCTAGTACGAGGTATCCGAGTTGCTCTACCGTACTTGCTTCGTTAGTAGGAATAAAGTATATATATTTCGTAAGCCTATCGACTATAATAAGTATTATATCGTAGCTATATCCTATAACCGGATCCTTAGACTTCGGTAGTTTCGTAATAAAGTCTATTATAACTTCGTCCTATAGTTTATCTAGTAGCGTCCTAAATTGGATATATCTATATCTAGCGTGTCTATTAGCCTTATTACGATAACATTGTAGATATTTCTTAATATATTCTAGAACTCGTTATCGTATATATAGGAATCCGAAGCTTCGCTTAACTAGTTCTATTGTTTTTGAAACTCTAGGGTGTCCAATTTCTAGTCCGTTATAGTGTTGTCGTATATACTCCGTAACTCGTTCCTTAGGTACTTAGTGTTTCCTATATTCGATTAGGAACTGTTCTTCTATGTCCTAAAGAACTCGTATAATATAGTTGAATTCTTTTATATTAGTACTAAGGCTTCTGTCTTAGTTTGCTTTTAATATCTGCTGCTATACTAGTTCGTAACCCTCTATATAGTCGCTACGGCGGCTTAGTGCGTCGGCTCGTCCGTTCTCGCGTCCTAGGGTATAGCGGATTTCGAACTTGTACTATCTTAGTAGCTCCGACTAGCGGGCCTGTCTTCGGGTTAGTACTTTAGTCGTAGTAAAGTAAGTCAGATTCTTATAATTAGAAAGAATCGTAAGACTTAGTACTCCTTCCGCGTATACTCGCTAGTATTATAGTAATGCAACTATTGTAAGTAGCTCCTTATTATAGATATCGTAGTTCTGTTCCGCGGGTAATATCTTTCTCGAGTAATAGGCTACCGGATATCGTTTCCCGTTATACTCCTATATAAGGCATGCTCCTATAGCCCTATCCGACGCGTCTGTTTCTATCTAGACCGCCTTATTCCTATCGAATAATCGTAGCGTTAGCGTAGAAACGCATTGCTTCTTTAGCTACCTAAACGCTTCGTCTTCCTTCGTGCTCTAGTTCTATTTCTTGTCTTTCTTTATAAGCTCCGTAAGGGGTGCCGCTATCTTAGAGTAGCCCTCGATGAATTTTCTGTTATAGTTAGCTAATCCTAGGAATAATTGTACGTCTTTAACGCATATAGGCGTTAGCTATTCCTATATTAACTTGGTTTTTTCTAGATCGATCCTAATTCCTATAGTGCTAATAATAAATCCTAGGAACTTAACTTCCTTCTTATAGAATTCGCATTTCTTAGGTGTAGTCTTAAATCCTACTTAAGTAAATCGTTCAAAGACGTCCTACACTATTCGTATATAGTCCGCGAGAGCTCCCTTAGTATAGACTAAGATATCGTCTATATATGCGATAACGTATATATCTAGAAGGTCTCGGAGGACTTCGTTTACAAGGTCTTAATATAACGCTAGGGCATTTATAAGTCCTATAGGCATAACTAAGAATTCGTAAAGCCTGTGTCTTGTTCGGAATGCTGTTATCTATTCGTATCTAGCTGCTATACGTATTGCGTAAAACGCATCGCGTAGGTCAATCTTCGTATACTAGTCTAATCTAGTTAATCGGTCTTGCATTTCTTCGATGTTCGGTAGTAGGTACCGATTCTTAATTGTAATATCGTTAAGTCGTCTAAAATCGACTACTAGCCGTCCTTCGTCTAATCCGCCTTTCGGAACGAACATTACTAGTAAGGCTACCGAGGATATCGACTTCTATATCTAGCCTTTCTCTAATTTCTCTTTTAGCTACTTGTCTAGGGTTTTAAGCTCTTTCTTAGACATTGCGTATAAGGGTCCCTATAGAGGCTCTTTCCTAGGCTATAAGTATATCTTATAATCCTATAGTTAGTATTTAGGTAAGGCTACCTTGCCTCTCTCCTTTTTAAAGAGTCGCTTCTACTTACTATACTCTTTAGGAATGTCTAGGTCCGAGATTCTAGTTTTATTCTTCGATAGCGTATAACTTCTATCCTTCCCGTAATTATTATTATAACCCTCCTAACCTAACGGTAGTATCGATCCGGGTTGAATACGGTTCTCCGTAATTCCTATCGACGTAAACGTCTTACGAGTCGCTCTGCGTTTATTAATCTTATCTGCCTGCGAACGCTGCCGCTATATAGGTTAAATGCCGATTATATAGTCGCATTCCTTAAATATAAGTACTCCTCTTCTCTAGTCTACGACTAGGTTATACTTTCTTAACTAAGGTATACCTAATATAATATTATAACTAGCTATATTAGTAATATCTAAGACAATCTCCTCGTAATACTATTAGATAGCTAGTAGTAACGGTATCGTTTCTCGTTCTATACTAGGTAGCGGTAACCTATCTACTACTATAAGTTTATACGCTCCTTCTCTTCTACTTCGGGTTACGATCCCTCGGCTTTTAACGAATAATTCGGAGGTAAAGTTCCCGCTCGCTCCGGAATCTATTAATACACTCGTCGGATGCCCGTTAACGATAACTTTTATATAGAAGACTACTATTAATGCTTGAGCGCTTTCGGTATTAAAGAACTCTCTTAGAACGCTCTAATCTAGAGAGTTGGTCCGTTTCCCGACTAATTAGTAGCCTAACGTTGTTCTAACTAGTTACGGATCCGTAGTCCTACCGTTCGTGCTTCTTCGGTATATAATTTTTCCTCGAGGGTATCGTTATATATATCCCGTCCCTACGCTACTATAGCCTTTCGGTATTGCTAATTTAATCGCTAGATCGTCTAACGTATATCTTAAGTAATAATCGTCCTTTCGTCGGGTAGGACGTATCCGTAGGGCGTAATTATACTTCCTATCGGTACTCGCTCCGTAATAAAGTTATAGTACGTATAGTCTATAGGTATCCGGGGGTAATTCTAGAATTTTGCCCGTAAGCTTATCTAGAAATAATTAAATTGGATAGGATCTACCTTCTGTTATCCGTTAACCTTTAGAAACATTTCCTCGTATTTGTATACTAGATATAAGGCGATTGTTCGCGCTGCTATAGGTGTATCTATTATAAACGTAAGGATCGTATCGTCGTTAATCCCGAATTCGTCTTTACTTTCTTTATTCGTAGTTTCTTCCTCGGTATCTAGACTTCCTTCTAAATCTTCTTGCTATTCCTCCTCTTACTAAGAGGACTCCGGTACTTCTAGGATAGCTCCTAACTCCTCCCCGGGAGGGAATAAAGCTTCCGGATCTCGGTTTTCTTTATCGTCGGTATCTAAGCAAGATTTATTAATCGTTTCTTCTTCTAACTAAGATTTCGCATCTTCTCGTACGAGTCGCCTAATCTAAGGGAAGAATCCTGCTTCTACTTTAGTAGAATAATAAATTTGGTATTAGTCGTCGTAATAGAATCTCTAGTAAAGGGTTCTATATACGGGTTCTTATCGTCGTGCTATTATATAGATTTGTCGTAGCTCTTTCTTTACGACCTCTACGTAGGTTCTCGGCGCGTTATTAATAGAGTATAGCTCTACTATTATTCGGTAGCCTTCTCTACCCGAGTCCTTTCGTTATATTATATTGAACTGTTCGCGTCGCACTATGTTCTTGCTACGGCAGTTCCGTGCTATATAGCCTTCCTTGCTATATATATAGCAAGTTAATCTTCCTGCTTTCTTAGGCGAACTCTTGCCTTTTCTTCCTTTAATTGCTCGACCCTTCTAGGTAGCGTCTAGCTCTATTAGTTGCGTACTATAGTAGTTGTTCCCCTTTTGTTTATCGTAGGTACTATAGTTTCGTCTATTATCGTATCTAGGAGTATAACTAGCTTTTCTAGAAGTCTTAGAATCGTAGCGTCGTTCTAAAGCTCGTTCGTAGAGCCTATCGTCGAGATCGATCGTAACCTTAACTAATGTTCCTATATTATCTATTTTTCTACCGTCGCGTATAAGCTCGTCTTTAACGTTATCCTTAAGACCTCGCCGATATATTGTTATAAGAGCTTCGTCGTCCTAATCCGTAAGTTAGGCGTATTCCTAAAATTTAGCGGCGTAATCGGCATATAACCCCTTCTAAGTTAAGTATTAGATAACCCTAACTACGGTAGCAACCTCGTTAGAAGATCTAAAGACCTTCTTTATCGTACGCTTAAGATTTTCGTAGCTTGCGAAGATTCTATCCGAATTGTCGGTCCCGTTGCTATCTAGATAGGTCCTAAGAAATAGTTTAACCTAATACTAAGCCCTACCTCGTATAAACGTCGTTACGAAGACTGGCTTTAAGTTGTCTTAAACCTAGTTAAATATAAAATATATATCTATCTAGCTAACCTAGGTATCGAACTTGTCTCGGTCGCCGTAATAAAAGTCTAGCTTTCCGATCTTAAGAGAATCGTTTCCGGTATAGGTTCCTAGTGCATTGCTAGTACTAGAGGTAGTACGTCGAGTACTGCCTGTCTCGCTAGGGGCGGGAGTTCCCCTTCCGACTTGTAATAAGGCACTTATCCTAAGGACGTTTAAAGTGTTACGGTTACTCGCGACAGATCGTTAGGTAACTTCTTATTACGTATAAGCCGAGGCTTCTTTAGAGAGGCTAATATAAGCGGGAGGCAGAGATAGAATAATTGGTATAAAGGTAATTCTAATTAGTAAGTAGGTAACATAAGTTGAACGCCTCGAGCTATAAGGGCATTCCGGCGTTCCTAAATACAAAGGAGACATCTTGTCTATAGTCGTAAGCGACGTAAGCGACGCTGTCGCTCTCGACCGCTCCTATCGCTCCTAGTAAGATAGAGCGACAGCTTAGCCTACTAGTCTTAGTGTCGCTCTAAGATTATATAAGGACTCTAACTAATAAGATCCGTAATACGTAGTTGTGTTTCGATAGTATAGTCGCTAATAAAAAGACTTAGGCAGATAGCGAGGACTATAGTAGGAGGCTTCTTAGAAGAGCGGTTCCCTCTATCTGCCTTAGAGATTGTAAGAAGGGTTATATTAGCAGGTAGATAGGGTAGTAGTAGGTATAGGTAGTATTCGATAAGGATCTAGGAGGAGAGGGAGGAAGGCAGGCTAGTTAGCCTAACACTAAGCGCTAAGCCCTGCCTAAGGCACTAAGACCCTAGCTTTACTTAGCCTAGTTATATGCTAATTACATATAGCCCCTTTAGCCCTAATATACGCTTCCCTTCTAAAGGCCGCGCCCTCGTAGCCTTTCTATATTCCGATCTCGACCTCCGCTACTAACTTAGCGAATCTAATAAGCTACTTAGCCTACGCTAAATTAAACACTTAACTACCTACGAAATAATTAGCTAAGAAATTTCGCAGAAGTAATATACAATCAAAGATTAAAGGGAAATTTGACTTACCCCGGATTTTAGCGTAGAACGTTAATCGAGACAAAGATTGAAGCGGAATTTAACTTACCCCGGATTTCTTAGCTTATTAGCTAGGGTATTAGCTTAATAGTAGTAATATTTAATTAAAGATTCAAGTACATTTCCTATTAATTGCGTATAAAGGTATTAGCTTAATAGTAGTAATATTTAATTAAAGATTTAAGTACATTTCCTATTAATTGCGTATAAAGGTATTAGCTTGATAGTAGTAATATTTAATTAAAGATTTAAGTACATTTCCTATTAATTGCGTATAAAGGTCTTAGCTTAATAGTAGTAATATTTAATTAAAGATTTAAGTACATTTCCTATTAATTGCGTATAAAGGTATTAGCTTAATAGTAGTAATATTTAATTAAACATTTAAGTACATTTCCTATTAATTGCGTAGTAGTAATATTTAATTAAAGATTTAAGTACATTTCCTATTAATTACGTATAAATAAAAAAAATAGCTAGTATAGGACTCGAACCTACGACCTCTTAACCCCTATCGATCTTATAACTCCTTTAAGATATATGCCTTTATATAGCGGGGACTATATTAAGTAGTATAGCCGGGAGAAATGGAATTATTAATAGTTAAGAATTAAGTTAGAGCTAATACTAGCTAATACCTACTAATACTAAATTCGAAGGTCGTCGATTTATATAAAAATTTCACGTTCTATAGAACCGACCCGCGCGGTTCTAACGGTATAATTTTTATTGAAATCGGATTAGTATTTATCGAGATATATATAGGATACTCCGTATTCTATAGCTATCTAGTCTAGAGGCGCCCTAATATAATAGCCTATAGGGTACTAAGTATTAGCCTAATCGGGGGGGCGATAGTAAGGCTCTAGGGCGTCTAGTAGGTATATCGACTTTTTTTTTATACTAGATATATAATTTTCGCTAAGTCTACGAGTTAGTTTCGAGGAGGAGGAGTACTTTATATATTAATCTACTATATATAGTTTTATGCTTAGACGGCGTCTAGGATAGAAGGTAGTAGTACTACTATATCGGAGTTAGGTTTTAACTTTCGGGGAGGAGGAGTACTTTATATATTAATCTACTATATATAGTTTTGTACTTAGACGGCGTTTAGAATAGACTATAACTACTAAGAGGAAATTCTATTATCGAGTTCCTATCTAAGTAACTTAACAGGTTGCTAGACTATTATACTAACTCGCGCGGCTCTAATTCTATAATTTAAGTAAACGTATATATTTCTTTAATTTTCGAATATATCTAGGTTACATAACGGACTAAGTTGTCCGGTAATAACGGTATAGTTTCTACTAATATTAGCCTAATCTATCCTAATACTCTTATAATATATTATATACTAGCATTATAAATATATTATATATACCTATAACTAGTATATTTACTTTCTATATATACGTTTATATATACTCTCTACTATATATACTATCTTATATATATATATATATATAGACTTCGAAAAAAAACCCCTTTCCTAAAAAGTAAAAAAAAGGGATCGTAAAATATTTAATTTAACACCTTAAACTGTGCTATTATTATAGCGAGGTCTAAAGTATCAAATAGTCTGCCGCCGGAGGATTACAACGCTATATAGTAGCCGGACACCCCTGCTCCCGAAAATTTCAGGCCCTTAATAAAGTGTACAAGGACACTCGTTAAACAGCAAACTAATTCAAATAATTAGATACCGGGTTGGAATTTAAGTTCGTATATAGAGTATACACCGTACCTAGGAAATCCGGGGTAGCCTAGGTTAGGGAGGTACTTACTGCCGGCTTTTTTTAAGCAACGCTAAGCCGAAAATTTTCGAACGTAGATAACCTCTGCGCTGCTACTCTTAGAACGCGCCCGCGGTCTATAACACTTCCTAGTTGTTATAAGGACTATTATTTACTATCGTAGTTTCACTAGCCCTAATTAGTTAGGTTTAGTAGCCTTTAATTGTTAATCTTATCTTATCTTTTTAAAAAACACAGTTCGTCTAGTTTCTATAGGTAAAGGCTATTATAAGTGTAATAGTTAAGGTTCGCCTCGCTTAAAGAATCGGAAAGATCGAGGAGTAATCTATTATCCGCAAGATCGACCCCGGCTAGCTTAGCTCTATAGTTTTTGCCCTTAGTTAGTCTATTAGTCGCTTAATCTTTGAAGCGGCTCTTAGTGTTTTAACTTAGCCTTAAAGTTTTAATTAGCCCTTTAATATAGCTATTCTTTTAACTTAACCGGTATAGCGCGCTCCGGCTCGCGGTATAGGTAAGGTTGTGTCTATAGGCGTAGCGACAATAGCAGGTAATATTAATAATAGCGGCGAGTAGGTAATGTTAGCAATCGCGGCGCTAGCCGTCTTAGCGCTAACTTTACCTTATTCCTTCCTCGTTTCCTTTCTTAACTAGCAACACACCTCGCAATACTGTTACTAATATAGCCGCGCCGGCTGCGCCGTCGTTATTATTATTATTACTATCCGCGCGCGCTATCCCCGCCGACCGCCTAGGCCTCGAGATCTCGGTAGAATAAGAGAGGGCGCTAAGAGAAGGGTCTTATAGGGTACGCTAGTAAAGAGGTAGTTTCCTAAAAGAGTAGCAAATAGTTAACGCGTTATAGCGCGCTTATTAACACTTAGTACCCGTTTACTATAGTAGTATAGTCTTATTGTCCTAGTTTGCCGGCCTCTAATTAGTTAGCTAATAGCACCCTAGGGGTAGCATTATTCCTAGGCGATATTACAGGCCCTTAGCCTTCTTCTTGTTCTTTATACTAGTCTAATAGTTATCTAACAACTTAGTTATATCCTCGAAGGAACCTTTAGCTTCCTATAAGTCCTAATTAGGCGAATAGCCTTGCTATCTTAATAGGTATTCCTTCTTACCTTACCTAGTCCGGTGCTTTAGAATGCGTTCTATAGACTATAGCTCTTTACTATCGGCTAAGACTTCTTCTAACTTAGTAGGCGCTTTATCGCCTTCGCGCTAATAGTATAGTTTAAGAAGGGATACGTAGAAGGTGTTATAGATAGTATAATAAGGGGGAAGCTACAACTAATAGGCCTATACGGAGGAGCCTTTAACTTCTCGCATGCGGAATAGGCTAATATATCTCCGTACGAGCTTAGGCCTTGTTTTGCTATTAGGGGATAGGTGTTTGCGGATATAGAGGTTCTTCGTACTAAGCATAACTATATCGCCTTGTTTAAAGGTTATTAGCGTATAGTGTTTGTTATAATAAGCCTTCTAATAGGCCTAGGCCTTTGCTGGTTTGTTAGCTATCTTAGCGTGAATTTCTCGCATCTTTTAAACCCTCTTAATAGCCGCTAGTGTCTTAGGTTAACCCGCTAGTGTCTTAGGTTAACCCGCTAGTGTCTTAGGTTAACCCGCTTCCCTTTCTTTACGCTCGGCCTCGAGCGATAGGGGGTCTTATAGTATAGCGGCGTTCTAGCCTATTATAGCTATATAGGGTAAGACCTTAGTTAATAAGTATATACTATTATTATATACGAATTCTATAAGCTATAGGAGGTTAACCTAGTCGTTAGGGTTCTTATTAATATAGCTACGTAGGTACTGCTATAGAGTAGCATTCTGCCTCTCGGTCTAACTATCTGTTTATAGGTAGAATGCTATAGACAGGCGATACTAAAGTCTTAGCTATAGGCAAATCTTACTCTAATAATATAATATAAATGTCGAGCCTCGATCGGAGACTATCCCCTTAGGGGTTCCCTAATAGCTACAGAAGATGTTATTCTATAGGGACTTAGCTAGGTTAATAGCCGTCTAATCCTTCAGAGCGGGGATATAGCGAGCACCCTTAGTAAATCGGTCTATAACGACTAGTATAGCGTTAAAGACGTCTCTGCTTCCTCTTCGCTTAGCAGGGGGAAGACCTATAATAAAATCTATTATAAGCTCTATAAATAGCTTCTTTAGAATAGGGAGTAAAGACAACTCGCTAAATAGTAGGTGCTTTAGTGCCTTAATACGCTAGTATACTGCGTAGGTCTGCACGTATTCTTTTATATACCGTTTACTATTTAGCTAGTAGTATATACGCGATAGTAGCTCGTACGACCTCTCTATACTATAGTAACTAGCAAGCTTACTATTATAGTGTTGCTTTAAAAGCTCTTATCTAATCGATTGTTTAGCGGGGATATAGTATCTGCCCTTAAACTTTAGGTAACCCTTATCGTCGATCGACTAGTTACTTTTGCTAGATCGAGTCGTTCGCCTACTTATAAGCTTATTAATACGTTTAGTAGCAAAGGCGTCCCTCTACTAAGCACGTAATAGCTTATCTATAAACGATTAACTATTCCTATTTGCAAGGTTACTTAATAGCACCCTCGCTATTAAACGAGGTACGTATTATATATATTATTAGCTAGTAACCGGCCCTATACCTATAGGCCAGTTTTGAGCCTATATAAGAGGCCTCCTTCTATAGAGTAGACAGATTACTAACCTCGTATAGTATATTGTTTATGTTACACTTCTACAATGCCTATATTGTAGGGCTCTAGTTATTAGCCTAAGCAACCGTCTTGTTATCCTATTATACTAAATATAGCTGCCTATATTGCTATAGGTTATGTTACCCTCGGTAGCCTATACTATTACTGCTAGTAGTAGTAGTAGTTTTGGTTTCCGTCCTTTATTAGAGCTAAAGGTAGGGCTATCTCTTTATATCTAATAGGTTCGGGTATGTTAAAGGTAGTCTCTAGGCACGAATAGCTATAACCGGAGCGAGGGCACGATAAGAGCCTACGATACGGACGATACCGAAGTATCTTAAGAGGCCGTTACGACAAGCAGAGAAACCTCTTAACGAGGGCATCGCTTTAACCCCGAAAAGCTACAAACCCTTAGGACTGTTACAGCTTAGGGCCTAGTCTATAACTATAGCTAGCTTCTAAGGACTCGGCTCCGGGTCGAAGACCTATTTAGTACCGCTTGCTCGAGATGAGCCCCGCCTAAGGAGGAGATAGACTAATTACCTATCGGCCTTGCTTAGTTTGCTAAGACTATCTATACGATAGCAATTTCTAGATTATAGGTCGGATGCCTAGACAGTTCCCCTATTAACCGGGTAGATTGTTTCGGGATTCGCTACCTCGTTCGGATAGTGCTTAGCCTTCTACTAGGAAAAGAAGGTCCCCGCCCCCTATCTAGCTAAAGGAGATAACGATAGTTAGTAAAGTAGCTAGTTTCTAGGATCCAGGTGTAAATAGAGATTGCAGTTCCTTCCTCCGAGCGGCTTTTATCTAAATTTACTAAATTAAAGCTCCTAGGGGTATCTAGGCGACCCCTAGGAGGCTAAACTCTAATGCTACCCTAGGGGTAATATTAGAAGAAAACAGCCTAGTACACTATTTTCTCGTATAGCAATATCGAACCAAACCTATAACATATACTAAAAACACTTTCCTATAGCATTTCATTTTAACTACTTTATAACAATCGAATAAGCTCTAGCGAAAGCGAGCATTACGAATTAGCGGAATCTTCGGAATCTAATAACCTACCGGACCCTATTAACGAAGAAATCAGGCGACGACTAGTTATTATAAGCGCTATCGAACTAGGGGCTATCGAGCCTTCTACGCCCGAGGCTCTCTATAATATCGTTATAAAGATAATTTAAGGGCAAACTAACCTTCTCCGTTAGAACAGGCGTCGCCCGCTAGAGCCGGGAAGTAGTAGGAACCCTTTGTTCGAAGGGTAGAACGCTACGGCGTACGTAGAACGCTTTAAGGATAACTTAACCGAGTACGGACTCGAAGAGGAGTCGGACTAGTACAAGGTCCGGTCCCTTACGAGGACTACTATTACTAAGCTTTACCGAACCCTTAGAACCCTAGTTAGCTACCTAGAAAAGGACGACAAGTCTAATGCCGACTAGGAGGTCTTTAAGTAGGCCTTTATAAGGGAGTATCGGAATCGCGATAGCCGTCGTATTAAAGGTAGTCGTACGTAGCTTAAGAACCTCTATATAGAGAGGCGTACCGAAGATAACGACCTAAAGGAGTACGTCCGCGAGTTTATTAAGTTAGCGGACGGCATTAACTAGCAGGACCTCGAGAATTCTTAGAGAACGAGGCTACTCCTTAAAGGGTTGCCGTAGTCTACGGCTAAGCGTATCTTCCGTCGCTATAAGCTTAGCGAAGCTAATCCCGAGACCTTTAGGAAGTATAAAGAGGTCCTAGAGGCTATTAAGGACGACATTAATAGCTCCGCTAACGCAAAGAAGTTTATTTACGGCGAGGACCGGAATAACCTAGCCTAGGTAAAGAGCGACGCCTCGGGAAGCAGAGGACCTAAGTTCCTTCCTAAGTCGTAGAGCGGTCCTAAGACCGTAACTCCTACTATTACTAAGCACTCTTGAGACGTTACGGACTTGGCTAAGTCCCTAGCCTAGCTCAACCTTAATACGAAAGCACTATAGCGAGTTAGGGAGGTTATTAATACTAGCATACTAAAGGATATGCTACCGGTCTACTAGATTTCCGATCCTAACTACCCGGAGGCCCCTTTAGTTAACGTCTACGCTATACGAAAGATCCATTCTAACTTAGATAGCAAGTGCTAGATATGCGGCGGTTTTAAATATATTTAATTAGACTGCCCTATCTAGAAAGAGCTTCTTAAGAGGAAGCTCGTTATATAAGTAAATAGTCGGTTCTACTATACCGATACTAGCGACAAGATTAACTTCGAGTAGGATCGTAGAGCTCCGAAGCTGCCTCAACTTAGGAGTCTTCTAGAGAAGAAGTATAGTAGCAAGATCGAGTTTAAGGATACTAGGAATAGTACCCTCGCCGCTATTGCTAAACGAGAAACTTAGAAGGTTAGGGCAAAACAGGTTAAGGAGCGGAGCAGTAATAGTACTACTAAGCCTATTAAAGTCAACTTTGTGTCTTAGGACCCGGACGCAGTTACTAATATTTACGCGGTTACTAAGAATAGTGTAGATGTCTACGCTACTATAAGGTCCTAAACTTAGTCGTCCTAAACCTAGTCCTAGGGCAAGGGTAAGAGCCCGTAGAACCCTACCCGCCCTAGTGCGGCAGCCCCCACTAGGATACTTAAGAAGCAGGTAGCTAACAAGGCTAAGAAACAGCGAGAATTAGTCGCTAAGACTAAGACACTCTAGATAGCTAAAGACCGTGCAACCCGAGCTAGTATAGCTACTCCGGAGGTACTAGAAACTCTAGATATCGATATAGAGGATGCTACTACCGACCTTAGTAGTACCCTAGGCCTAGCTAACCCGCCGGCCTACAAACGAAAGTTAGCCGACCTAAAGAGCTTTCGCTTTAATAGGTATATAAAGAAGTATAGTGCCGGGCCTACTAACTCTTACGATACAAAGGCAAATACTCTCTTCTAGGCTTTATAGTTCCTAGACCTTAAGTCTAACGTGTCTATAGGGGAGCTTCTAGTATACAGTTTGCCTACTAACCTGTTCTAGAGCCGGATTCCTAACGATACTACCTTTATAAAAGACCTTATAGCCCTCTAACGTAAATAGGGGCGAGAGGACTATATCGACGTCTCTTCCCTATAGTTCCTTCCTGAATTTTTAGGGGCCTAGGAGTTAGTAGAAGGCGAATTAGTAACCTACGAGAGCTAGGAGACTATCGATAATACTAACGAAGAGGGGATTAAGGAGATAGGCCGAGGGGATAATAATAATGCCGACTCTGCTTCGGTTTTAGTTTCTATTAAGGCTGTCCGATTTACTAGCTAACAAATCGGTCGAGTAGGACCTCCTCGACCTAAGGAACTTTACTCTATCCCTAATAATGTAGACCTTTCCGTAGTTACCCGTTCCTTCGCCGTCGTTCCCGCTATCTACATTTAAGTTACTATCGGAAGCTATAGTTAGCAGTTGCTAGCAATACTTAATAATGGTTTAGAGTCACTTATTATAAGTAAGCGCTAGGCTAAACAGCTCCGACTGCTAATAAATAGAGATATTTCCCTTAGTATATAGAGAGTAAATAGGGAGGTTGCGCTAGTAGGTGCCTACTACAATATTATAGTAGACGCTTTCGGCATATACTTTTCCTTTACCTTCTAGATTGCCGCTAACCCGAACACGCTAATTATTCTAGGTCGACTATAGTCTCGTATAACCCGGGGTATCTAGCGCAACTGCGACGATAGCTCCTAGGAAGGAACTATCGCTAACTAGAAGGGTAACCGAGTCGTGTTTACTAGTTATGTCGGAAACACTAGCTACAAGTCCTACGAGGATATCCTTGCTACTTCTAAGCGCTCTTCGGGAAACGGTATAGCGCGGTTATAAGACCGGCAATCTACGCTATAAGTTAGTATAGCTTAAATAGGTTATATCTAGAGGTACGCCGCTCCGTACGTTAAGGTAAGTTTCTAGGCTCTATACTAAGGAGGCGAATGCTCGAAGCGATAGCGAGTATAACAATACGGCAACGATAACCTAGTATACGAATCTCGGTAATAATGCTATCGTAGGCATCGCCGCCGGAAGCGGATCTACCTAAGCCCGAATCCGAACTAACTAATTAGAGCGCCGAGCTAATGCTACCCCGGGGGTGTTATTAGGAATCTAACGTTTTCGCCGGAATTATAAATCAGGATTACTAGCTATATACCTACCGACTTAAGGAGACTTCTAATAAAGTTTACGCGCTGTTCTATTACGCCAATCTCCGGGCCTAACGTTAAAGAGAGAGGGCTCGGGTATTACGAGCGGTTAGTATATATACCCTATATAAGAGGGTAGCTAATAAGATTAAGCCCGTAAAGGGCAGCGTATATATAACCGATAGGTCCAATCCTAGCGGAAATCCTAACTAGCGACAAAAGTGCCTTAACCGCAAAGCGATATTAACACCTAGGGATAGTCTATACGACTAGAGGTATATTACTAAAAAGTTCTCCGCTATTCCTAGGGGATCGAGGCTAACGCCGGAGAGACTAGCGAATATCAAACCTAGCATCGAGCTTTCGGATCTTGAACTAGATTTGCTATACGAGCTTCTGTATAACCGCGAAGCCGTATTAGTATATAACTTTACGTATCTAGGCAGGATTAACCCGGAGGTTGCCCCTCTATAGAGGATCCGAACGATCGAGTATAAGCCTTAGGCTTACCTAGGGTTTAAGCTAAACCTAAGCCTAAGAGGTATAGTTAAGGACATAATACGGCAGCGTGTAAAGGCTAGTACCTTAGAGCCTTCCTATGCCTCGTATCGCAACCTATACTTCCTAGTTTAGAAGAAGACAGCTCCTAGGGAACTAAAGAAGTACCGTCTAATTAACGCTATACAAAAGTTTAACGTAGTTACGATTAGAGATGCTAACCTCCCTCCGGAGACTAATAGGTTCTCGGAAGCTTTTGCTAACTATGTTATAGCCTTACTAGTTAATGTTTTCTCGGGCTACGACTAGATCCCTCTCTATCCTAATAGCCGCGACCTTACTAGTTTCGAGACACCTCTTAGGCTATACAGACAAACTACCCTTCTATAAGGGGCAACTAACTCCGTAGCCTAGTTCGTTCGCATTATAAACTAAGTCCTCGCGGCCTATATCTCCTATATAGCGATGCCTTTCCTTAACGACATCGGCATTAAGGGCCCTAAAACTAGGTACGATAATAAAGAAGTAGAGCCTAGCATCCGTAGGTTCTTTCTCGAATACATTTAGAACCTCGATAGTATCCTCTGCGACCTAGAGCGAGCTAACCTAACGGTATATAGGGAGAAGCTCTAGCTCCTATATAAACGAATAAACATTGTCGGGTTTATAACTAATAAGAACGGCCGCTATCCTAACAATGTACGGGTCCTAAAGATTGTGTCCTAGCCCGACCCTACCTATTAGAAAGATATCCGGATCTAGCTTAGAGTAGTCTCCTACTTCCGCATCTAGGTCGAAAACTTTGCGTTAGTATACAAGCCTCTATACGCCTTGCTTAAGAAGGATATAGAGTTTAAATGGACCTCCGTTTACTAAGCCGCTAAGGATAAGATTACTAAGGCGCTTGTTAGCGCGCCTACGCTTACCTCTATTAACTACTCGGAAGACGCAGGTCTACTAATTGTTACTATCGACTCGAGCGGGGAAGGCTACGGCGAGATACTAATATAGTATAATCGTAAGGAGCCCTCCTTACGTTACCCTATCCGGTACGAGTCTAGTCTATAGAAACCTATCGAGGCCCGATACGATACTAGCAAGCGAGAGTGCCTTAGTGTCTATAAGGCTCTTAAGAAGTTCCGACCCTAGCTTTTTAGAGTATTCTTTCGCCTAGAAGTCGACGCTTAGACGCTAGTCTATTAACTTAACCGTATAGCCTCCGACCTGCCTAACTCTACGATAGCTCGGTAGGTTGCCTAGATCCATTTGTTTGATTTCGACGTCTTCTATATTCCTAGTAAGAAGCATACTAGACCGGATAGCCTTTCTAGAAGGCCTGCTATAGAAGAAGACATCGCCGAGATAATAGAAGAAGAGGATGTCGATGCGGTTATTAACCGCACCTTCTTTACTGCCTTCTATATTAACGCTATGCCGGTAATTACTAGGTCTACTACCGACGACTAACCTAGTAACTAGCCTAACGAGGACCCTACTACTAACGGCGAGGACTAGGACGATGCTAAGGCGGGCAAACTAGGCAGGGATAATATCCTTAATAGGGTCTACTCCGACGACTCCTATAATATCGCCTACTTCCTTACCTATACGAAGAGAGCTCCTAGTCTATTAAGGAGTTAATACCGTCGTATTATTCGCTATTCCCGGAGGTTCCTTGTTAAAGATCGTATCCTTTAGCGATAGGCTATAATTAATGCACCGCTCTAGCGTATTATTAACGATCTAGCAGCCCGACAAGAAATCCTTCGCTCCGTTTACGATAAGCTCGGCTACCGGGCGGCGGAGGGCACCTTCGATGTCCTTCGTCGACGCTACTAGTAGGACGGCGTATAGGCTAATGTCTCCCGCTACTATAAGAGCCATCCTAAGTGCAACTTTAGGAACAGCTACCGGCGTCTAGGAGAGCTACGTATCCCTGCTACCTAGTTAGTTAGGGAGCGGTAGTATAGCAATAGGGTCTATCTTAGCCGCAATAATAGCCTATATATTATTCGAGAGGGTCTTTCTCGATAGCCGGAGGCCTATTATTTCTATAAAGGTTGCGGTGCTATTAATGCCCGTAATATAGCTACCTTCCTATTTAAGGATCTGTTTTACCGCTAGGGAACACCTTACGAGGTTATCTTAGATAACGCTACGAACAATATAGCTAAGGAGGTTTAAGCGCTACTTGTTTCGTACGGGGCGAAGAACGTTCGCATCTCCCTATACTATCTCTAGTCGAATGCTATTATTAAGCGCGGCTATCGGTCTTTAATTAATGCCCTATCTAAGATAACTAATAGTAGCGATAGATTAGTTCCTATTTCTACCCGCGTCCTAGCCCTTCTCTAGGCGGATCGAACTACTATTGTCGATACGACTAGACTTATACTAGCGGAACTTATAATTAGGAGGGACGCCGTTCTTCCTATTAAATTGTCCTGTCGTACGTATAGCGTTTACGATTAGGGGTCTATTCGTACTAGAGCAGACCTTCTTGCCCTACGGGCTAAGGCTCTTAAGGATATAACTACGACTTCTTAAGAGGGTCTTGCTCGACAACGTCGGCTTCGGGAAGAGGCTAAGCAGTATTTTAATAACTATAATGCTGTTAATTGGGAACCTCTAAAGGTTAGCGATATAGTCCTTCTATACCGGTCCGAACTAGAGTATAGTTACTCCTACAAGCTAGCCTTTAAGTAGAAGGGTCCTTATAGAGTAAAGGAGGTCCTTTACTCGGGTTCCGTATACCTTCTTTAGGAGCTAGATAGTACTGCCTTAAAGCACTCTTACCCTCGGGCTAATCTAAAGAAGATCGTTAAGTTACGCGAACCTACCCGCCCTCCGCCGACCGAGGAGGAAGTTAGTGCCTCTATAGACCCTCTGCCGTCCTTAGATGCCTATCGGGAGGAGGATCCTACCGCTATTATAGATCCTGTTCTGCCTAAGAACTATACCTATCCCTAGATTCGTCTTAGTAAGCTATTAGGAATAACTTAAGAATAAAGGGAGGGTTATATACGGATTAACTATATATAGAGCGTTTCCGATGTTAATTCCGATTCTAATAGTAAACTAGACTTCTAGCTATCTAACTCTAACTCCGAGGAACCTAACTAGTCTAGCGATAAAGACTGCCTAGAATTATAGCTAGACGACCCCGAGACTAAATAATCGCATATCCTTTCCTGCCTCTACTACGTTGCTTCCTTGCTCTTGTTAATCGTTCTCCGCGCTATTAATATAGTGCCGCCCTATACCTTTAGTCCTTACCTACTATCCGTTCCTACTAATGTTTATACTCTCGTTTGTTGCTTTTAGTTTATCTTATTGTTGTCCTTTGCTTTGCCTTTGCTTTCGATTAATATTGCTATAACTTTATTACTTTGCTCTTATTTCCTTAGATAGAACTATACGAGGCGTGTTTTCCTGAATCCTAATAATACCCCGGGGGTAGCATTAGGAAAATAGCCGAACCTAACCCTCTACCCTTCTAGGACTACTTCCCTCTAGGTTCCTAGACTCTAGCAACTACCCTTAAGTAGCAACGATAATAAGGTACTCTACTAGAGGATGTTCCTGCTATAATTAGCACTAGTCACGTAGAACACTAAGAAAGGGAGGATCCCTCTCCCTTCCTAGCTCTTAGATAGACGTAGTAACCTAGGCCTATAGCCTCTAAGGATAGGGACCTTAGGCCGCTAAGCTTAGTGTCTAGAAGAAAGAAGAACGTACGGGCTACGTTTATATACCTGCTACTGTAAAAGGTAATGCTGCATCTATAACGACAGTGCTATAGGCTAATACAAGCTGCGCTAGGCCTAGGCGATTTGCTCCTAGTTGCCGAGCATCTCTAGAGAAAAGCTAATACTACCCCGAGGGTGCTATTAGTCCCGCTAGCCTTACTACTATAGATTACTACTAGGTACTCGAACTAACTAGTTACATTTCGAGTGCGCGGGAATCTACTAAAGCTAGAGGTTAACAAAGGCACGTAGTCGCTACTAGCAATTAGCTAGATCGATTATTAAACTTTAGCCTGCCCTACTAATAAAGGAGTCTCGTATACAGCTTTACTTTTTTAGGGTCTATATATAATCGTTATCCGTTTGCTTTACCGGAACATACGGACTACGCTACCTTCGTACCCTATTTAAGGCGAGCCTTCTAAGCTCTTTCTTCTACTCGAACACTAACTAACTTACTACCGCCTACCCCCCCCCCCCCCTCTTCTATCTAAACCCTTTAATTATTATTAACAAGCTACGAACGTTTTTGCAAGCTCGTTACTAACTCCTTTCTACTCCGGTCGACTAAGATGTCTTCCGGCGCCCTAAATCCGCTAGGCGCTAGTAGTAGTAGCAACCTACTAGCTCTAAACCTAGGCGTACTAGTCCCGATCGAAGCCCCCTCCGATAGCGCCTTAGCTACTGTAACTAGCCTCGAGCACTGCTTCTAGATCGTTACCGCCCTTAAAGACCCTTAAGAGAAGATCTAGAACGCTCGTACCCTGCTACGCGTTATTAATAGGAATATTAAGAAGGCTGCTATCTTAGTTACGTATAGTATAAACAACTTGCGTTAGTCTATCGGTAAGCGTATCTTTAAGCGCGAGGTTCTTAACGATATAGACATCAAACAAGCCTTTCCTATCGTTTATAGCCTCGAGACGGCCGGCACCTAGATTCGTTTGCGCTTTAAGACTCTCGACTAGGCCTTCGAATATTAGGGAGGACTAAGCAGTCTTCCTAAGAGCCTTATTAACTTCGCCTACGGTAGATAAGAGCGTACTAAGTAGGTCTCTTCGTTCGTTAATAAGTATAAGGTCCGTCGTTAAGGCGCCGAGTATCTTTCCCGTATAATAATCTATTGTATGTCTACCGCTAATAAGAAGGTAGGCAAGCAGTTACTTAACTTGTCCTTTGCGCTTAACGACTTTACGATAGCCTACTAGAAGAAGCACTACGATGCGATTGTCTAGGTCGATCTTAACGTATAGACAACTAAGGATCTACTAAAAGAGAAGGGCTGTCGTATTAATAGTATAGGCTTTATTGTTAAAGGTTAAGAGGCTCCTATCGTTAATGTCCTTAAACGTAAGGCTCTTCGCCTAGAAACCGAGGCCGATACGGCTGCTAGTCTTACGCTCGCTATAGAAATGTAGGCTAAAGATCGTCGCTCGACCCGTAACCGCAAGGTCCCTTAAGAAGTTTAAGACGAGCGCGCTAAGGCCGAAGCAGCGCGTAAGAAGGCATTATATACTCGCTAGGCCCTCCGTAAGGCTAGCAAGAAGTACAGCACTCCTTCTAGTACCGACTATAGTACTAACTATAGTTCTAACTATAGTAACTCGGATGTTAATATACTAGATATACTACTAGAAGATGTCTCCTCCGAAGGCTCCTTTAGCGAGCGTAGAGATAGAGGCCTCTCGCCGATCCTATTAACTAAGAATATCTATAGTTCTTGTAAGGGCGACTCT